TAATTCAAATAAAAATTTATTTGAATCAAATAAATATTTGTTAGGCTGTAAGACAAAGATATTATTTCTTTGAGTATTGCAAAAATAAAAAAAAATTGCTCTTTTGAAATAAATAAAAAAAATAATTGCTTATATTAATAGTTGTAATAAGCGTGAGGTAAAAATGCATGTCAAATTGACTAGGGAGAGTTTGTCATTTATTGTTGAATAGCTTTCTCACATTTTACACACGACAGTGAAACTAATGTCATAAAATAGTGAAAATAGCGAAGACAATAGTTTAATGAAATAAATCGTTTGTATTTTCTCTTTTTAAAGTTATTTTTTTCTCTCTCTCTCTCTCTCTCTCACTCACTGGACTTGTTCATTTTTTTCTTCTTTTCGTATATAATTAATACAAATGTTCAGGCTCCTTTTATTGAAATGAAAACTTTTTTCTCACTTTCATTTGAATTCTGCGGAAGGTTTACGGAATCTCAATCATCTGTCTATTCAGTAAAACAAAGCCAAGCACACTGGCTACATCCGCATACCTCAGGGTAGTTTCAAAAGGGACTCTCGCGTCAAAGGAACTCGACCGTGGTTGTTTTATAGGAACCAACAACTTCGCACTGAGATGAGTAAAACGACTCTCTCGCGGTGCTTATATAAAAAAAAAAACCAACGACAATTCTGACTAAAATAAACATTTTTTTTAGCCCGAAAACTTTTTTTTTTTTTTAGAATATCTATAACAAGTTTCGATTGCCTGGGGCAATTTTTTCTTGTTTGTGGAAAAATAGAAATTATTTATCTTTGTATGGGAACATTTTTTATAATACTACATTTTTAATTAATTTTATTTTTTATTTATTCTTTATTTTATGGATTTTTTTTTATACTTTACAGTATTTACAATTTTTAAATTTTGTATAACCGGAGAAAAGATTCAGAGACAAATAAATATTTTTTGTTGCAAATAAATTTTAATTTAAATAGAAATTTTTTTTTTTTGATTTAAATAGAAATTTTATTTAAACCAAATAAAATTTATTTGTTATAAAATTTATTTACGTCAAATAAATAAGGCTCTAAGACAAATATACGTTTATTTAACACAAATATATTGTATATTTGGTTTAAATAAAACTCTGGGTTTATAAAAAATATTGACTTTTTTTCTAGATAATTTTTTTACCCTTCAACTTTTATGCTACGTTATATGTATCTTCTTTATCGTAGACAAAAATAATAAAAATTCTCGTGGAATTTTACTCGGATAAAAAAGAAAAAAAATTCAAGAAGGAAAATTCAAAAAATACTGTTTATATTTTACAAAAAATATAATTTTATAAACATGATATTTGTTTAAGTTTATAACAAAAGGAAAAAAAAATATTAATCTCGAAATATTGTATCAGTAAATTTATCAGTAAGAAAAAAAATGTGAATTAAAGAGAAGAAAATTTTTTCCTTTTTCTATATATGTTAATTATTTCAAAAAGTAACATAATTAGCAGCAAGTTTGTCCGCCTGTTACCAGGAAATATTTACTTTATTTGTTACTTTATTTTTTTTAATACGCGTCATTAAGAGTTCTTTTGTTCAGCAAAAAAGTTTCCTAGAATATATATTATTACAACTACAATTTTTTGTCAAGAAATTTTTAATGTCTGATATTAATTATATTTACTTTGAAAATATAATACAAAATTTGAAATAAAAAGTTTTTGTGTTTTTAGAAAATATTATAAAAATTCTCGCGAGAACTTTCTACTCACGTGAAAAATGTACATATATACATGTGTACATAATAATTAACCTAGATATTTATTCTTTACTTTTTAAAGAATTTGAAATCGGCAAATATATATATTAAATTACTCTAAATTTACTTTTAAATTTCTCTCATTACAATGAATTAGTAAAAAAGGACTATTACTATTGTGACTCATTTTTTACGATTTAATTTTTAGTCAAATTTCATTAAAAATTATTTATATTTATTTATTATTGTTTTATTTATAATAATAATTACAATTATTATTATTATTATTATTATTATTATTATTATTATTAAATTAATAATATTAATAAATTGGTATAAAATAAATTAATTTAAATGTGTAGAATATTTTTTTTATTTTAATTTTATAAAATGAATTAGCAAATTTAATGATCATATGTGCCACTTTAAAGTTTTAGAAAGCAATTAAACATTATCGAATGTACAAACTCATTTAAATTTTGTTAGATTATGCCTTGTAATTAATCAGAAGTTGTTATTAGTAATTTTAGAATTAGAGTAACTTGAATGCATTGGCTATATATAATATTATGTTTTACCTTTATCTATATAATATTTTAATTTATTCTTTAAAGAATATTATTTTAGGTATCATTTTCAAAAATAAATTTTATTTATTTTTAATTGTATTTTTCTAATATTAAATAATTATTGTATTTTTAAGAGATATTTTTTATTATGATATCTGTAACTTTCTATTATTATTATTATTTTTTTTTTTTTTTGTAAATGATTAAAGAGTATAAAGTGTCAATTATTAATGTAATTATGAAGCAGGTGATACAGTTTCATTATTCCATTCAGAATATATACAGATCCACTTAATTAGTGCAACCACAAGGGATGTATCTGTGCTTTCTCTCTCTATCTCTCTCTGTGGCTCTCATAAATTTATTCAAATTATTAATTGATTTATTCATCAGCTTAAATGTACTAAAATAGGTATCTCTTTCTTTTTGTGAAATATATAACGTCCCCTTTGGCACTATTTGTATAATTAATATTGCATCACGTAACTAAAAATTACGTTGAAAAACGCTATAAAATTGAATATTTAAATATTTCATTATTTACAAATTTTGCTTTTTATTTTTTGCACCCGAAGAAAAAGCATATAAATGTAATCTTGATTTTAGCGGATACTTTTTATTTTGTAATACAAACTTTTCGTTTAGTATTTTCCGTTTCTTGTGTATAATTTTTTATTTACATTTTTATTTATATTTTTACTTATATTTTTAATTCTATTTTTATTTATAAAATTTTCTTTTATACAATTCTTTTCCTTTATATCCTTATCTTTTCTAAATATTTCCTTTACTATTTTTTTATAAATATTTTATTTTATCTATAAAGTTAATTAATTATTGGATATTAATTATTAATTTATTATTATTAGTTATTAATTATTATTATTGGTTATTATTATTATTATTATTATTGGTTATTATTATTATTATTATTAGTTAGTTAGTTATTATTATTGATAATTAATTATTAGTATTATTGTTATGATTAATCACTCATAAGTAATTAAAATTAAAACTTTAATTGGATTTTATAATAATAATTGGTGAGAGTGTATTAAATGTATATTCTGATATTAATAAAAGCATATTGTTAGTTCTGCTTTGATTCTTATTTGACGTTATTGATCAATATTAATTACATATAAATATATCACAATATATATATATATAGGAAAGCCATTATTCCGTAACATTAAATAATATGTGATACATAAATTAGAATATCAAATATGCTGTATATAGTTATGCAATAAATTTATAATATTTGTTTTTTTGTTACAGTTTCATGGTGGTGAGAAAAAGTGACTTCCTGGGAATTACAACAAAGTGAGTAATCATTTTTATCTTAATTTAAAGTTTAAACATTTACGTATAATTAATTTTTTAATAACTGTTCTGAATTTCATAATTATTTAATATATATATTAATATATAATAAATAATGTTAATATAATATATGTAATATATAGAATATAATATATAATATATAATATATTATAATAACATTATAATATAATCATATTAATATATTAAAATTAATATATTAATTTATTTTGAAGGAATAACTGAATGAAACATAGTTTTGTTTTTCGAATAACTTAAACTATTATAGAATAGAATATATATTTAATAATAGAATTTTTTTTATTATTTATTTACCACTGTGTCTCTTTATATTCTAACTTATAAAAAATGTAACTAAAGAACTTTCCGGATAGTTCTTAGTTTCGGTCATCGTTCTCATATGTATATATATATATATATATATATATATAAATTTATATCGAAAGCCTTGAATAATTCGGATATAAAGCCTGCTTGTGACACTGACATATAATCGATTTTTGAAGGCCATCATTTATCTTCCCGAGAAGAATATTCAATAAACTATATATATATTGAAAGGTTTTTTTACTTTTCCAATTTTGAGCTCGAAACAAGTTTAATTGGTTCATTATTTTCTCTCGTCGAAAGACTCTCATTATAACGAATTCAGATATATTTTTCTCTCTGATTTATTTAAATATAATAATAATGAAAAATTATTTCGTAATAGTTTTTATGATTTGGGGGGGGGGGGAACTAATAATTTTCATGCGTTTACAAACGGATACGAAATTTTTTATTGTGTTTGAAAATTTATGATTTTCGAAACAATTCTTTTGAAATGTCACTATTTTTTTTGAAAAGTCATTATTATTTTTATTCCATATTTGGAAAATCTCATTTTTATAGATGTTTTGTTTACTGCATTGTCATTTTGATTTTATCGCATAAAAATGAGTTTAAAAAAAAAAACAATGAAGATTGTATAAGAGTTATTATTTTTTTTTGGAGGATAATCTGTGCGACTTGTTTCAATTAGTAATAATTTGCCAAGTGAATCATCTTCACTGCAATGAACACGACCTCTTGACCTCTGTTCCACTCTTTGAGAAGTGATTTTGCTTTTGACTGGGGAGACCAACTTCGCCGCAGTAAAGGTCTCCACAGGTAAACGAGCATTTGAGAAGACTTTCGGTATTCAGGTCTTCAACCTGTCCCACATTTCCTACAAGTACACTTCCTCATATGAAAAATTAAATTTTAAATATAGAAATCTTCGTTTAATTCTTTATTATTTGTTTCATAGAATTTTAAATTTGTTTCTAAAATTACCAAAAAGAATTCAAATATACACTTACTCTACGAGTAGATCGAAACATTCGTCTGCATAATGTTTTCTTTATTTTTTTAATAGGTTTTATTTTTTTCCTCCTTTTGTAAACAAATGTCACCTATAGATTTTGTTCTTCTTTTTATTTACTGTAAGACATCTGGATCAGCTGTAAACCGTTAACACAACACCCTACTCAGAACACAACACTCGTAACCCATGGCGACGCATTTTTCTTAATACAGTCAGCAAGTGTTTTATTTTTTTTATTATTATTATTAATAATAAAATTCATCTGCATTTGCCTCATGTGATAAAATATAAAAACTTGTCGCACTATTTATTCACTGGTTTTTGATGGTACACATGTAATAGTGTGCTGACTGGTCATTGTGTATAAAGAAACCAACTTGCCTTTCGAATAAGCAACTTCAAACCGGCACTATTTTCCCTATATGTATACCTTTATATATATACAATAACTATATGAAAATATCCCGTATATAGCACACCGGTACAATACGGCGATGTGAACGCTTCCACGTTTGACGCTAAACTGACGCGAACATCGAGCCGCACTGTGTTTCACGGCTCCTATAAGTCATATACATCTCCCTCAAGAACACGTTTTCTACTTTTCATTTTATGATTTATCGATTGGATTCGATTGAGGATTGGAATCTTTAATTTTCTCATTGATTTCTGTTTGTTTGGAAAAATTTGATTGTGATTTTTTAAAGATTTGGTTGATGATTTTTGAGGGTATTGAATCGGATGATTTTGGGTTGGCTTTAAATTCTTTTTGGTTTTGATTAATAATTTTGATTTTGTTTTCTGTTATTTCGATCTGTGATGGGTAATTTTGATTTTAAATGTTTGGTTACTGATTTTGAATGTAATGAATCAGATGATTTTGGTTTCAATTGTTGAGTGTTTTTGGTTTTGTTTGCTATGTTTAAGATTTTGTTTTGTTATTTCAGTTTGTGACTGATAATTTTGATACTGATTTTAACTGTTCAGTTGCTGATTTTGAATGTAATGAATCAGATAATTTTGGTTCCAATTGTTAAGTGTTTTTGGTTTTTTTGCTATGTTTAAGATTTTGTTTTGTTATTTCAGTTTGTGACTGATAATTTTGATACTGATTTTAACTGTTCAGTTGCTGATTTTGAATGTAATGAATCAGATAATTTTGGTTCCGATTGTTAAGTGTTTTTGGTTTTGTTTGCTTTGTTCAATAAGATTTTGTTTTCTATTATTTCAGTCTGTAGTTGATAATTTTCATTCTGATTTTAACTGTTTAGTTACAGATTTTGAGTTTAATTACTCAGATGATTTTGGTTCCAATTGTTCAATGTTTTTGGTTTAGTTTGTAATTTAATAATTTTGGTTTTACTTTACTGCGTCATTTATCAGATGATTTTGATTTTGGAAACAATTTTGTTTTCTATATTACTTTAATTCCAACAGAATCAGCAATTAGTTCAATTTCGCTTTGTTAAAGAATTAAAATTTAGAAAATCAATCTTCAGCTTTTTAAATTTTCAATTGCTTTTCTTTGTTATTAATTTTTTTTTCTAAAACCACAATAATTTATTAAAAATCTTGCTTTAGTATTAATGAAAAAAAAAAATTTCTAAATTTTATTACATAAATTGTGATTTAGAAATGAAGTAATTTTGAAAATGAAGTGTAAAGTGATGCAATCTGTTACTTGAAAGTCAAAAGGTCGGTTCTACCGCATTCCTTATTCTTTCCTCTGCATCATTTGTCTCTTCTTTTTAGTTCTCTTTTATTCTCGAAACATCCTTTCTTTTGCCAACTATAACCTTCACGTTCTAAGTATGAATTTCTTTTACATCTTTTGAGATTACGAGCACAGTTGCGGTTCCTCGAATAATAAAATTTAAACAATTTTTTTTTTAAATTAAATTTTATTTAAAAAATAATATTAATATAAGTCAGAAATAGTAAAATAGTAAGAATTTATGTTTAAAAATATAAAATTTTTTTAAACTATAAAGCTTTCTATTTTTAAAGTATATTGATAAAAATTGAAAATTTGTTACTTTCCATTCTCTCTTTTATATTTTGAGAATTTAATAATGTTTCAAATGTATCAAGGTTACATTATTCTGTGGTTAACTGAATACTTCAATGTCTTAACCTTGACTACAATGACAGATTATTATAACAAGAGTATAGATACCTTATAAGAGGAGATTTCAACAGATTTAGTGACCTTTCACTGTAAAATAACAAAACGAAAAGTTTGTGAATTCTCCCTCTCATATATTTATTTATTAAAAAATGAAATTTTTTATTTACTATTCATTGAGCGTGAATTAAAAATTAAATTTTTTTTTACTTTTTATCTCTAAAACAATATTTACATTTTTATATTTGTTATTGAATTAAAAAAATTTGATATGGTAAATTTAATTAATTAAAATTTCTTTTTTATAGTATTGTATTTGTATATTTGCGGTTTTTGTATATTGGAAAATGGGATGCTGAATTGAAATCAAATTTAATAAATATCGCATTCTACTTTTTATATAGATATATGCTCCTCTTTATCAAAAATTTAAAATGCCAGGTTTTTTTACAAGCCTTCTATATAATTTAATTTTGCGAGTATAAAATTTTATTGTATTAAATATGCGAAGAATTTGTTACAATATTAAATTTTCCATTTAAATTATATGAATTAATTTCATTCCCTTATTATTATATTTAGTAAATGGTAGAATTTATCGGTCAGTATATATGTAATTAGAGGATCAGCATTATGCATCAATGTCCATCAAACAAATTTTAATGAGGGACGAGTATCAAATGCTATTTTATTATTTTAATTAATTATTCTATTAATTATTTTTAAAAAAAAATTTTAATTACTTTTTTAAATAATTGAATAAAATTTAATATTTCTAGAAAAAAATAAATCCAATATAAAATTCAGTTTTCCACAATTTTTTCACATCAAAATTTTATAAAAAAATTCGTATATTTCTTTTTTGGTTTGATTAATTTGGAAAAAAATATATTTTCTAAAAATACTCTGAGGATTTTTTTTTTTTTTTTTTTTGAGTATCGTATATAGGCATTGTGTTGTGAGTTGAGTATATCTTTTTTTCGTGTATAATTAGGTAATTCGTAAGGAAAGTAAAATAGAAGTTCTTTGGCGCTAACGAAGCTGAGAAAGGGTTGTTAGAGAAGAATGCAACGAGAGACATATCCTATTAAACGTCTGGTGAGTTTAGTAATTAGCATCTCTCGTCGTTTGTAGGTTGCTCTCGTGATAAAGACAATAATAAGAAAATAAAAGAGGTGCGGGACAAAGACCTTACGCGTGACGATAAGGTGAGAAATCTTGTTGCTTATAGTCACACCAACACAAACCTTTTTTTTTTTTTTTTCCATGATAATTCGCATTCTCAAGGGATTTCCTACAATCTATAACGAGAGCTTGTATGTATATAAGAAAGAAAAAAAAATTATAAACCGAGAGGGAAAATCTTTTTTTAGCACACAATGCAATATATATCTAGGTGAGACTTTAAAATTACCAATGGTATGTCTCATACAATATATAAAATCGAAAGTTATACCAACGAGAGTAAAAACATATTATAACTGTTTCACCTCAATTATTACGTTGAAGAAAAGTGAACGTTATTGTAGATAGGAACTTGTGCAAATTAGTCACCATTTTTTTTTCCCCTCTCATATCGCGTAAAATGTTGAAATTCTCTCACAATTATTTCTTTATGAATATATCTTAAACTCTCAATAGTCACATAATAATAATTATTATTTTATAATTTTTTTTTTACATTTACATTTTTCTTAATTCTCGATAGTCACTTATTATTTTATAATTTTTTAAAAATTTACGTTGAACTTGTAATTTTTTAGATTTATTATTTTATATTTAAAAAACAGATTTAAATTAATTGTTTTTTTTTAAACATTAGTTTTTAAATTTTGTAGTAAATAATCTGGTAAATTCCATGATCGTACGAATTTATCATTAAAAAAAAGCAGATTATTTTTCTTTGCAAGAATTTTTTGTGTCTGGTTTCTTTTTTAGTATTATAAATAAAATTGCGGTTAATACAAGAACGCCCCTCGGGGATTTGTCATATGAACGATAAATAAGGTATTTTAAACTAATCTCCTGTCCAAAAATTTTTTTTTTTTTTTTTTTTTTGAATTTTTATACATTATTATTAATTAAATTTACACAATTTTTTTTTTGTGTAAATAATATAAAATTAAATAAGCAATTTATTTTTATTGAATATACAAAAAAAAAAAAAATAGAAAAAGTTTTTCAAAAGGAAAAAATTCTTTATCCCATTTAGATTAAATATTTCTTCTATTTGAAAAAAAAATCAATAAATATATATGATTTCCAATAAAAAGTAATCGGAGTTATTTCTTTTCTTATATATTATGAGAATATTAAAAATACCGCGAAAAGATAAAAGAAAATTTTATTTTATATTATATATTTATTTTATTCTGTGAAAATGTGAATCACTTTAGCGGTTTTTTTTTCTTTTAATTATATTCCTTTGGTATTTTTTTTCGGTTAAAATAGATAATGGAAAGAAATTAATTAAACTTCCTTTTGGATGTGTATGATTATGGGAATAAAATAATTCTAGTAAGGATAAAGGTTACAGGCATTATTTTTTATTTATTTATTTTTTTTTTTTTCTATTAGTTAGTCTTACCACCGATGATCTGGCATCTAGATCAAGGTTTTTAACAGTTGATTCGACTCGGCATTTTGCTCGTTTATAGATATTAGAGAGGCTGAGGTTAAGATCCATGTTTCCTTGGCATGACAGTTGTTAACTTATATATTTGCATTCATAGCAGGTACTCTTTTATATGATATCGTGAAAAAATTTTCATTTTCTTTAGCGATTTGAAAAAAATTTTTTTTTTTTATCTGATTCATTCATAAAAATCACTAAAATAATTTTTTTTAAATATTTTTACTCTCTAAGAATTAGTATTTAACTAATTTGAAATTTAAGGTAAAATTTTACTAGATATAGTAAATTTTATTTTAACTCTATTAATTAAATTTAAAAAATATTTAATTTTTTCTTATCGTGTCTCAAAAAAAAAAAAAAATTCTTATTTTTTTCATGAAAAATATTTATCTGATTATATAGAAGCAAAAATTTATCATATAGACGTCTCTCTTGAATTTTTCTCAAACACTTTTTTCCACTTTTCTGTTCCTTAGAAAAACCTGTGATAACAAGTTGAAATCACATTAATTACGAAGTTGTAGGAGTTTATATAAGATTATCTTAGCTGAGGGAAATTTCTGTAAGTGGCTTCTTTTTTCCCCTCTTGAACAGCATCCAAGAAATTATTCGATAAAAAAAAATGAAGAAGATGGTTTAATGATCAATTAAATAAAAACCGCGCATAAATTAGAAATGTTTTATTCTGAATTGTTTTTTATTTTTGAGCTTTAATAAATTATTCCTAGTTCTCTTGCGTAGATGGATGATATTTTATTGACAAAAATATATTCACGAGATTTTCTCTTATATACGTAATGCGTTCAATGTAATTTAATTAGGTGCAAACCTCATTAGCTGTTGACATCATGAAGTTACGTGTGATTTTAACGGGATTACGGATAAGTCACGGTTGTATCCTTGATATTTAAAAAAAATGACAGTTTCTATCAATTTGTTTGAAATTTTTCCCTTTTTTTTCCTCTTCGCATTTCGTTTCCGTTGAATAGATTTTTTTTATATAATTAATTACTTTTTACAAAAATTAATTTACGAGATTTTAGAAATTAATTTCATATTTTTTTTTATCAGTTTTTTCTTTATTAATTTTAATAGAAAACCAATTAAATTATTTTTTTCTTTTATTGATGGTAAATTATTTTCAAAATAACAACGTATGTTAACTGAAAAATAAAAAATATACATAAAATTATATTTATGATGATGAGACCTTGATAATTCTCATGTTTTCAACAATGATTGTTATCAAGAAACAAACAGAAAATTATTTGCATAAAGAAAAATAGTTTCAATATATTTTATTTATTTAAGTACATAGATGGTTAAATTTTTTTTAAAATATTGAAAAATAAAAATATAAAAATTACTGTCACAGAAACCTACCTTACCGACTTATGACAAAACAGTTATTTGAAAATGGAAATATAGAATATTGACGGCACATACATCTATTTTACTGACTGATGGTAAAACAGATGTTTGAAAAATGAAAAAAATTTACTGACATAGAAATCTACCTTACCGACTGATGATAAAGAAATTTTCTCAAAAATGAAAATATAATAATTACCGACCTAGGAATCTACCTTACCGATTGATGGTAAAACAGTTTTGAAAAATAAACAAAAATTCAGTCGGCAATGTAGATTTCTATATCGGTATTGTCATATTTTTCAAAAAATCTGTTTTACCATCAGTCGTGAAGGTAGATTTCTGTGTCGGTAATTTTTTATTTTTAATAAAATCTGTTTTACCATCAGTCGGTAAAGTAAATGTCTGTGTCGGTAATTTTTATTTTTAATAAAATCTGTTTTACCATCAGTCGGTAAGGTATATTTCTGTGTCGGTAATTTTTTATTTTTTAATAAAATCTGTTTTACCATCAGTCGGTAAGGTAAACTTCTGTGTCGGTAATTTTTTATATTTTTATTTTTTAAAAATAATTAAATTTCATTCACGTATAAAAAGAATGTATTTAAATAGAATTAATTTCTCTTCTATCACCTTTAAAATGTTGAGTGCTATAAATTATAAATCAGATTATTATATTCGTTAAAAAAACAGAGATAATTCTGGAACGTGTGACGTTTTACGCACAAAGGGGCGTATTTCATATATAATCTGTTAGAATTTCTTTGATTAATTTTGAAGCCATTTTTTATAACCAATTTTCGATGGTTTATATTTAAATAAGATCATCATTAAATTCATTATTCGTTAATTCATTAATCATTAAATTAATGACAAAAATTAAATTTTTATCAAAATTTTTTTTGTGTGATTGTTTTTTTTTTTTTTTTTTGTGAAACCAACAAAGTGGTATTGAGCTGTTAATTTATCTTTTTTTGGTCGTATTAGTAAAAAAAAAACAATTCATCATTATTACACGTAAAGTTTTAATCTACTATAGACGTGACTTGGATAATATTGTTAGATAATATTGATTTATTGATGAGGTTTCGCGAAATGCACAAAACAGAATGCAGTAAAAATCTAATATATTTAAATCGGCAAATTGCCAACAGGTGCAACGAGTTTTGTAATATAGATCTTAAGTGCCAATGGAAAGGGTGAACAAACTCTCATCGATTTTGGCTGACCTGCCAGAATACATACACATGTATATATTTGTGTTCACTTTATATATACAAGATTCATTTTACATTAACTATATTGGAAAACAATTCAAAATATATTTCAACATGAACATTATTTTCTACTTTAATCTTCATCTTGAATACAAAAAAAAAAACTTTGAAATTTTGTAACTTTTTAAAATTTACTTTACAATCATTTTTTTTTCACAAACCGAAAATTTGTGTTCTTCTCACTTTTTTAAAATCTTTTTTTTTCAATTAAACAAGATTTATTGCCTCAATATATTTCAAAAATGTTTTCAATTCTGAATTTTTGAAAGACTTGAAAGAAAAATTGATATTTTGACAAATTGTTATTTAGTTTTTAATAATAAATATATTTTTTTATACACTTAATAAAAATTCGGATATATATATATATATTTTTTTTTTTCTATTCTCAATACTCCTTGGAGGCTGTTCACTTTTTCAATTTAAAGTACTTAAATTTGATTTCGAAACTTGTTGGAAACTTTAGCAATTTCCCATTAAATTATAGGATTTTCTGAACTTATTTGATAGCTTTTCCTCTAAAGGTGGGTGCTTTAAAATCACATGCAATTTTCATAACTCGATTAAATAATAAACTCCTGATGGCTTGGAAATATTAGAGAATTTTTTTTTTGTGACTTTCATCAATTTTCAAAATCCTCTTGTAATAATATAGGATTTATTTTCTCTCATAACTTTTTAGAAAACAGATTTTTTCTTCCTTTATGATCAAATATTCTTTCTTTGAAGATAAGAAAAAAATATTTTTTGATTCATTTTCGCTATATAAATAAAGTACTACACTTACCTTTTGTTATTTATTTATTTATTTATGACGAATAAATATGGTTTGAAAAAAAATAGGAATACAATGTCAAATAAAAAAAAAATATTAAAAATAATATAAATAAAATAATAATTAACAAAAACATATCATTGAATAATTTTTATTATTTTTACTATCATTAACATTTTTCTTTTTATTTTGAAAAAATAGTTTTTTTAAAACTTTTTTTTTAATTTTTATAAAAAAAATTGAAGTTTTTATGCGATTTTCCGTCGAATTAAAATATATTCAATGTATTAAAATTTTACATTGAAAATATGTACATTAATTAGATCTTTAAAAGTACTAATTATTTTATATACTGAATCGCTATGTACGAGTTTAAATAATAAATTTGTTAAATTTTTTATTAGAATTTTAAAAATAGCTCTTCTTATAATATCCTTGTGCGCGATTTTTTTTTTGTTGTAAATTTAACAGTTTTTGCATAATACAATGTGTAACACTGGTAACAAAGGGAGTTTGAAAATCAATACAGAAACCCTGTCAATATTTCATATTAAAATGCAAATATTACTTGCATTCAATTCACGTGTTCATAATAATTTTCCACTTTAAACTTGTTGGACAATAAATTGAATTTTTGCATTAGATAATATTTTCAAAAAATTCTTTTCTTATAAAATTTGTGCTTTAATTTATTGTGTTATATAAAAAAATTTGTCTTAAATTTTTTTTTTTTTTGTAATTCAATTGTTGTTATTTAAATTCAGTAAAATAATAATATTTCAAAAAATATAATGAACATTGTATAAAAATTAAAAGTTTTCAACTGAAATTGAAATTTAAATTGGTTTTACAATTATAAATTTTTTATAAAATCAATTACATCGGAAGACCTACCTACAGAATCCTTAATTATTTATAAATTACATTATAAACTATTGATCGATTTGCTAGAATTCCTAATATACATATAGCTGTACATTTTTATAAATTAAAAGATTCTTGACGTATATTAGTCGTAAATCAGTAATTTAAATGAAAACTTTTGCAAGTGCACAATGGCTTTTTTAAAAAGTCTATGCAAAATACTAATAAGTCACAACGTTGGTTTACAAAATTATTTCTTTTTTTTTTTTAACGCATTGATACAATACGTTAAGGCGGAAGCTGTGTAACAAATTGTCAATTGCTTTTATTAAAAATATAATTATTTTTTCTCTCAACTAAATAAGATAATTGTTTCAAAATTAAAAAAGAAAAATTTAATTTGAATTGTTTTAATTAATAATAATACAATAATTAAATGTTTTCATTGAGATTTATTAATTATATTTTTAATAAAATATTTTCAAGCACCTTGGTGATTAGTTATTTTCTATTGTAATATTTCTAAAATTATTATTTTTTTTATTTTTATTAGCTAATTTAAGTATATAATATTTATTAAATCTATTATATACTAGAATTATTTTATTTTATTATAAATTCGTTTCTGTGATATTAAACATTTTAATAGAAAAATATGTTATTTTTTTTTGTTTTTAAAATATATAACTATTTTTTCACATTGTAAATTGTCTCTTCTAATAATATTAATAATGTTTTTTTTTATTTTGAAAGTTAATTTCTATCTACTCGCGTGACGAAAACGATTCGTCAGATTCTAATCCTCATTTTTATGATTTTATATTCTCTTTCTATATCAAAAGGGACAAATTTATGAATAAAATGTCAGTACTGATGAATGATTACCGCGAACTAATAAAAATGGTGGCATATCACGTGTTAAAGTTTCAAGCCATGCCATATAAAGTGCCGCTGAAACTGCACCCTTTCTTGGCATCGGTAGAGTCCTAAAAAAAAAATTTTTTTTTTTTGGTAAATTTATTTATTAAAATAAAAATTAGAAAAAATTATTTTTTAATTTAAAAATCCACTCACATAACAACTAAATTAGCTTCCATGGAATTTTCAAGAAGTAATTCACGTAAACGTAAATGTCTATTTGTTTTGTCTTTCATAGCAAGCAATTCGGAGTCTTTAATAATATCTGTGAAGGAAAATAAAATCAGTTCTTTCCTCTTCTTTTTTTTCTGCCTTAAAGTTATAAAAAGAAAATGCCAATAACTTTTTAAAAAGAAAGTTCTCTCTTACCCGCTTCCGTTAATCGTGGATTAGCTGGATTACAGAAATCTGCAATTAGCGAGTCGAAGAAGTTTTTCGTTCCAGGCTGAGCTGGTTTTGAAATATCCGGAATAACTTTTAAAGCTGAGTAATCTATCCTGAACTTTGAAAGAAGACTTGCCATGCTTTATATTTTTGCAAAAAAAAAAGGGAAGAAAATTTAAGTTTTCTCATTATTATAGCTTTTTTCGTTCAACAACAGTTGTTTTGAAATATTACTTTTTTTTTTAATTTTAACGTGAAAAGAAAATATTTTTTTCTTCTTTAAACTTACTTTCTTTGCTCGTATTCAAGTTCGGAGTGTTTGTTTGATAGGGCAAATACTCTTAATTTACTATTCGACCAATTTCTTCTGGTACTTATGATATATGGTAGTAAGAGTGTTAAACCACCGTCATCATATAACCACCAAACATCAATGGTTCCTTTTTTTTGTTTCCTCTGAAATCTCGTCACAGCATCCAAAATATCCTTTGATATCGTTGCATTTTGTCTATTTTCTGTACGCACTTCTATTTTTGGATTTGGATCTTCGTTTATTTTATTAGATCGATTTGGTGTTGGACTACCTGAGACTGATATATCCGAAACGCTACTCGCTAAAAAGGAAATTTTAGTAATAAAAAATAGCAGTAAAAATAACTAAAAATTTTTAATTATTCGTTATTAATAAATCACCTTGACTTAATTGAGAGAAACTTTGATTTCCTCTTATTGTCGGAAGAATTGTTCTTCTGTGTTCCTCAACATCTTCCATAACAGCACTAAAATCTAATCCTTCAGTGACTCTCAGAAGTGCAACTGCAATATGCATATCTAGTGCTTTGCTGTAAAAAAAAATGCTCTTCAATTCTCTAATTCGTTAACTGAAATCCTTAAGATTTCGTTAACTATAAAAAAAGAACCCAAAAAAAAACTTACTGCATCACATTGAAGTACATGTTTAAATTTTCCAAAGGACACGTGGACCAATCTTGTTTATAGCCCATAAGTAAAATATTTGGTCGAAGTTTACCAAGACCTGATGTTTGTAACAATGAAATAGCACCGTCCTGAAAATTTGCCCCATCGACAAGTGAATAAAATGCTTTTATTTTATTTGTCCTGAACCAAGATGTTGCCATCATTGACATTGTTGCACGAGTTTTGTATGACAATGAACTCTGTAATTAAAAATTTGGAATTAGAAATAATTTTCCAATAAATATTAATAAAATTTTGTAAGTTACAAAAAAAATTACTTGTATTATGTCTCCACAAACAAGTAGACTTTGATTTTTTGTAATATGATAGGCAAAATCAACAAATGATGATCTTGAACTTGGTGATCCACTGAGGAGTAAAATTTGTGGACGATAATTTTTCACATGTTCTTCAACTCTGTCTAATTGTTGAATTGCCGTTAGTGCATTGTTATAAGTTTGTGCCTGTGTTGTTGAACCCCAATTTACATCTGTAAATAATTTTTGTATTTGCATAAATTTTTGTTTTCATGAATTTTAATTTTTAATTATTTTCATTTATAATTTTCAATTATAATTTTCAATTATAATTTTCAATTATAATTTTCAGTTATAATTTTCAATTATAATAATTACCTGGTTTTCGATAAGCCACCACTAAATACAGGGTCATGACAACAAATAAAGTAATTAATGCCGTCCACCAAGAAATTAGAAACATCACTATCACACAAAGAATCGCTCCAGCGAGACTCAGCCACATATTGTAATACTAAAAATTGAGATAAAATTTCGAATTTTTCTACAATACTTTTTTAATAATATTTTTTGGGTTTTATTATTAACCCATAAAAATCATTAGAATTTTGATTTCAAAGAATTTAATTAGATTATTTTTTAGGCGAATTTTTATTTTTCGAATTAGAATTTGATACAATTTTCTTTTTAAACGAATTTTTATTGTACAGAATTCTTAAAACGCCGAATTTTTATTTATACGAAATTTTGCAAATGGTTGAACGAACAATCCACAGAAAAAACGCTACCAAAATTCGTTTAAAAAATAATTATGTCTAATAAAATTCTTTCAAATCAAAATTCTACACTAAAAAAAGGGTTTTGTATTGACAACTAAACGTTTGATTGGTATTTAAGCAACCAAAATTTGTTTGTTGAATCAATAAAATTTTAATTGTCTCAATCAAAATTTGTTTGACACAACCAAAATTAGAAAAAAAGGATTTTTTTTGTCCTAACTAAAGTTTGATTGGGACAACCAAAATTTTGTTGATTCAACAAAACAATTTTGGTTGCTTAAATACCAACTAAACGTTTGGTTATCAATACCAAACCCTTTTTTCAGTGTAACTAAAGATTTTTATGGAATAATCATGCGCCTGATATTTTTTAAATATATTTTTTTTTATACCTTGAAGGTAGGACGCCAGCCAATTGGTTTAGCAAGACTGGCATGAAAAGTACTGAAATTAACGAGTGTGTATGCGGCTAGGAAAAAATTTGAAATTAACGGTGCAATGATGTCCAATTGACCTGTGAAATTTTAAAATTAGAAAAATTAATTTTATTTAAAAAATTTATTAAAATATTTACCAATTAGAATAAAAGCAACGGCGATGACAAATGTGAGACAATATCCACGAACTGGTTCCTTTCCTTTTTTTCCACTGAACCAAGCAATTCCTGGATACAAATTGTCTAAACATAATGCCTGAAATACTTTTGGCGCTGAGACTAGGGAAGCAAGGGCACTTGATATTGTTGCTGCAAAGCAACCTGCATAAATAAATGGACCAAATGCCGAAACTAATTCAATTACCTAAAAATAATGAAATTCTATAAAAACAAGTATTTTGGAAAATTAAAAAAAAAATAGGGGTAAAAATACCTGAAAACTGTTATGGGTACCAAATGGACAATATGGTTGTGTACAATTAAAAGATGTACCATAAATACTCCAATTTTTCTCAGGAATACTTTCAAAGTATGTTTCATTTTCAATGCTCGTTTGATTTTCTAAACCTCCAATTGCTCTCAAAATGGAACTATTATAAATATTAAATAAATCCATAATATTTCCTGAAGCATCTCTCATTACAGAACCACCTACCATTATTGCTATTATAAGATAAGAAATGGTTGTTAAAAAAATTGCCAACAATGTTCCCTTTGGTATAGCAGATTGAGGATCCTGTTTGGAAAAATTGATTTTTATTATAAAATTTCATTTTCAATTAAATTATAATTTGCTTCCTCGTGGAGGAAGTTTTTTTTTTCTTTCGTTATAAATTTTTATCTAAATTTTTATTTAATATTAAATATCTGATTTTCATATTCGAAACATTAAAGGTGTTCCATGTCGATGCAAAAGACTATAAATCACCTTTAAGTCCCCGGATATATTCGCACCTGCCAGAATTCCTGTCGCTGCAGGAAAGAATATGGCAAGAACTGAAAAAAAATCATGACTTTGGCCATCCTTTGGCCTGTAATTTGAGAAAAAATTCTCCTTGAAAAGATTAACTAGAATGAAAAAAAAAATAATTTTCAGTTTATTGTTCATTTTGTTCAATAATATTATTTCTGGACAAAAAAAAAAATTTTTCTTACGGTCATATCCAATGAATCCTTTTGCTCTTTCTTCGTCATTTTTTGGTCCAATGAAAGTACCAATTAAAAAATCTGCTATTGCTAAGAGGAGGATTATCAAAAGGCCAACTTGTGCCTTTGCTTCCCATTCCATGCCAATTATAACAATTGCAAGTAGAACTGCTATTGTGATGACTCCTTTAATAAACAAATAATAATAAATAAATATGAATAATAAACATTTTTATTTTTAATTAATTTTTTATTTTAATTTTAATTTAAATTTTTAATTTAATTTTTTTTAATTTTTGTTTAATTTTTGTTTAATTTTATTTAATTTTTTATTTCAATTTATTTAAAAAAAATGTTATTACCTATTATTCTAATATCTGTATTACTGCAGTCGATAATGCAGGAATTATAACGCTTGAGAAGATCAACTAAACTTTCACAAAAGCCAACCACATACATTGCACATGCAACAGCATTTGCGATTGAAAAAATTATTCCTATTGATCCACCAAATTCTGGTCCTAATGATCTTGAAATCATATAGTAGGTTCCACCTGTAATTTGAAAATAATTAATTAATTAATAATAAATTATTAACATTAATTAATTAATGAAATTATTAATTCATTTATAATCTAAACAAATTTAATATCAATAAAATAATAAAACTTTGGTTAATTGTAATGAAATTTTTGGTTATCTAGAATTTAAAACTATTTAAAATTAATTTTTTAGTATAAACAAAAATTTTCTTAAATTAATAAAAAAAAAGTTTTGGTTATAAAATAGAATTTTGTTTTATTAACCATTTTTTTTTTGTTATTAAAATTAAAATATTTTTTCCTCCTGCAATATATAATAATGCAACAATATGTGTGGAAAAAAAGTAAATAGATAAACAATATTTGAAAAAATTACCTCCTTTTATGAGTCCATTCGTGCTGATTGCTGACATAGACAGTGATGTAATTACTGTTACCATTGTTGTTGTCAATATCAACAAAATTGATTGTCCTAAAACAATAAAAAAGTTTTCTTTCTTTTTAATATTCATAAACAATATATTAATTTTTTTTCAATTAAATTAATTTTTTAATAAATTATTAAATTAATATTTTACTTAATTTTTTTATTCATTTTTTTTATTAATTAATTTTATTTAAATAAAAAACCTACCTATTCCTGCTTCTGCAACGACCCAAGAGAGTCGCAAAAAAAGCATAACACCCCAAATGTTGAGTAAACATCTTAGAAGCACCCCTTGAATCCAACCAAATTTTATTCCAGTCTCGGCATTTTTTAAATCAGCTATTGGCAACGTATTACTTCTTAAACTCTGAAAAAAGGAAAATTGTCCAATTAATTTTTATTTCAATTTATTTTTTTTTTTAAATATTTTTATTGTTCCGAAAATTTTTTTTGGTAAAATTAGTGAATTATAATTAAAAAATCCTTTTTCAAACTGTTTTTATTGGGAATTAATTAACATTTTTTTTTTTATTTAAGTATAGAAAACAAATTTAATAAAAGTGCGGGACTACAATAAAGTGATAATGAATGTCAAAATATTGATTTAAAACGCTGATAAGTGTATAGGGATTTAATTAAAAAAGTTATATAATGAAGAGATTTAATTTAGTTTTATATCGCGTATTTAATTTTATTTATTGCGAATTGCTTTTGACTTTTATGATTTTTTTTTAGAAGTAATTTTAGTTTAATTTTTTTGCTTCTTCATTTTATTTTTATTTTTACATTTTTATTATTTTTTAATTTTTTTTTCTTTTTTTTTACATTTTTATTCTTTTTTTTTTTTATTCTTTTTCAATTTTTGTTAATTTTTTTATTTTTAGTTGAGAAAAAGAAAAAAATTCCAAGAATCAAAGAATAAAAGTAAAAAGTATTGTATATAAAATTGTAATTTTCACGCACAAGTGTTTAAACTTTCACCATATAGGTATTTATCGAAAAATTGCAGGTGATTTTATTGAGGAAGGGTCCATAAGAGACCAATAAAGAATATAACAATTTACATAATAATGCCCGGGCATATATCATTTATGTTCTCTCTTCACATTTGAAATATTATGTATACACACAAGTGTGAATTCCTGTCCTTGAATTATATTAACTTGCAAATTTAATTTATTTATAAAAATCTCGATTAAAAAAAAAGTATATTTTCTCATTAAATTTATTACAATTTTTTTTTTTTTATTTATCCCCTTACTTCTGTAATAAATTTACAAAAGGGAATCTCGAATCATATTTTTAAACTTTTCTTTTTCAAAATAGAAAAATTAAAAATAAAATTTATTGCTATTGTTTTAGTGTAAAAAAAGTTAATTAACAATCACTAAATTTTATTAAATGAATTAGTAAATTTTTTTTACTACTAATTAGTATTATACTAATTTTTTTTTATAATTTTTTTTACTAATTTTTTTTTACTATTTTTTTATTAATTTTTTTACTGATTTTTGTTTACTAATTTTTAGTAAATTCTTACTAATTATTAGGTAAAATAAATTACTAATTCATTTAGTAAAATTTAATGATTGTGAATTAATTTTTTTTTCGTTAATCACAATAATAATAATAATAATAATAATAATAATTGTTATTATGATTATAAAGATTAATGTTGATATTTCTCTCGAAGTGTTTTGCATCGTTGCAAATTTATTCTGGACCAAATGAAGATGAGTTGATTCACTTTGTATATGTCTTATATATATATGAGGCGAGAGCAATTTTCAGTTACATGATTGTTAAATGCTGGGGTAGACAATGATGGTAATAATTCGGATAAATTGTTAGCCTTTGGAGGAACTTAGCGCCAAGTCAATTGTGTTAGAATTTATTGATTTGATATTTACTGATCGCTAATAATTATTATTTAAGTAGAATTGATATCGATTAAAAAAAAAAAAAAAAAAATTTCTTCCACTTAAACAATTATCGTTTGAATGGATTATGGTAGCTTTAATATATTTCATAGAATTATACGTATTCTTCAATTATTAATAATTATAAACATTGTTTACATATTATATTAAATAATATTTAATCAAATAAATTAAATAAAAAAAATATAATAATACTAATAATAATAATAATAAAAATAATGATAATAATAATAATCATTAGTATTCAATGATGAATTTTATTATTCAATGAAATGAACTTATAAATACATTAAATTATTATTAATATTTTATTATTAATATTACTATCATTATTATGACAATATTAAAAATATTATATTATAATTTTGACCTATTATAATAGATTTTTTTTTACAAATATAATTGTTAACTTTCTAAGTTTGGAATACTATTACGCACATTATAATGAGTGTATAAATTTGATATTGCTTTTTTTTATTGTATATGATATAAAATGTGTGGGTTTATGCGGCACCTTAAGGAGCATGCAATGATATGAGTCAAGTGATCTGACACGTGATACTATTTAAACAAAGCAAATTTAGTTTTTATGAAATGGTAATTAAAAAAAATTTGCTACAGAAAAAAAATAGTTTATAATAATAATAATTTAATCGAATAATTTAAATATTGGTATTAATTATTAAAATATTAATCAATTTTTCGTAGTTAATAAATTGAAGAAAAATTAAAATTAATGAAAAAATTAAAAATAAACAATTTTTTACTTGGAACAACGATAAGATTCACTGGAACAGCGATATGTTTTACTAAAACAGCGAAAATTTTCTCTACTTTAAAGAAACATATCGCTGTTTTAGATAAAAAAAATTTTTTCCATGAAAGAAATTTGTAATAAACCGTTCAAAATTTTAGTAGTTGTAGAAAAAAAAATACTTTATTAATGGAAAAAAATTTTTTGGTGTTTTAAATTTTCATTGTTATTATGTATTTTGTAACCGAAATATTAGTCATCATGGTCGCGTTAACGATTTAATTAGTTCCATGTACGTGAAGGTCTAGATTTTGACCTGACCTGATCAACTCTTTGACTTACTCTGAGTCTCTCTCTCTCTCTCTCTCTCTCTCTCTCTCTCTCTCTCTCTCTCTCTCTCTCTCTCTCTCTCTCTCTCTCTCTCTCTCTCTCTCTCTCTCTCTCTCTCTCTCTCTCTCTCTTATTAAAAAATTATTAATATTTATAGTAATATTAAAATGGCATTAGTCACTCTCTTTAAAAGCAAAGTTCGCTCTTCGCTTATATGTTTATTTTAATATTTTATATTATATATATATATATATATATATATTTTTTTTTTAAATTCTCAATTTGATAATAATATTTATTAATAATTATCGTATATTTTATATTAATAGTCTTTTACATAGCCTTGTACATAAAAAGAAAATCTTATAACATCCAAAGAATCTAGTCTTATCGCTTACAAGGTCTGTTCATTTAACTTTTCTATAATCCTTTCCTTAGTAAGTTAGAAAATGAGGTGGTTAGAATACTTTAATAATGACTCATTATTTTTCAAAGATTTTCATTAATATTGTTTAATTAAAATAATTTTTTTATTTCCCAAAAAAAATTATTATTAATTAATATTAATGATTATTATTGAAAAGAGATTATTTAATAATTGAAAAGTACCAGCAAAACACTAAATTTTTTTTAGAATTTAAATTATAATTCATTTAAAACTGTACTTATAACTTATTTATTTTTTATTTTTGTTTACTTTAGTTACAAAAAAAAAATTTAATTAGTAATTATTTTAAGTGATTAATGAATTAAAATTTCGTTTCTATTATTATTATTACTATTATTTTTATTTTTATTATTATAATTATTATAATTATTATAATTATACAATAATTATAATCTGTAAAGAATATAATTACATTTTTTTACATATGTGAAATATGTAAATAGTACCTGATAGTAATATTTGTGTCATTAATAATTCCTTTTTTTTTTACTTTGTCCTTTTTAATAAAAAAAAAAAAAAAAGAAAAAGAAAATTATTTGTAAGAAAATGTAAAGATAGTGCGCGTAAAGTTGAAAAACTTAAAAATATTTGCTATCTAATCTTTAATGAATTGAAAGATGATAGTTATTGATAAATTCACATAATTTAAAAATTATATTTTATTACAATAATTATAAAAAAAAAATTTATTATTATAGATATTGTTTAAAAAATTTAAACTAAAGTAAATACTTGTTGGTTGCATGATAGTAGTAATTATAATTTTTTTTTTGTAATTCACATATCACCTCGTAAAAATGTTTGTTCAAAGTGTTACCGTAAAAAATTTTTTTTTTTTTTTTTTTTTTTTTTTATTGCATTATTCTCATGCTCTTGATAAAGTAATCATATTTTTTTATGAAGTGATAAAACAGTAGTCTGTTTTAAGAGGAATTTCTTTTTCTTATATACCTTTTTAGTGTTTAAAATTTTTAAAAATATATGTAATGTTATAAATTATCTAATCTACCTTCTTAGAAACACGTTAACTATTGAAACAATGATTTTGAAAATTTTTGAATGATTTAAATGCTTGCACTTAAACGGTAGTAATAAAAAAAAATATTCTCAGTGTTTTGAAAATTTTTTTTTTATAATTTATAGTTTACATAAATATACTTCTAGTATAAAATACCGAGTATTAATCTAATTTAATGAAAATTATATATAAAATACATTTTATATAATTTTTTATATTTTATTATATATTTATTTATTTTTTATTTATATTAAATTTGTATTTATATTTATTTATTATTTATTTAATTTAATTTATTTATTTAATTAAATAAATTAATTTTTTAAATTTATTTTTTATTTTTTGAAAATATTAAAATTTGGCATTTATATACCTTATTCAAAAGAGTGGGATTATGAAGTTCATCTAAAGAAGGCCTGTGTGCAACTTGAATACTTAAAATATTTCTATAATTGTCAAGTCTTGGTAATGCTTCTCTTGTCATATATTTTAAGGATTTTCTTGTTTCCTGTTCAGCTAAAAGACTAGCTCTTCCTTCCATACTGTCAACTCGATTAACGTGAAACCTTGTTCTTCTCAATGGATTTAATTCCACATCCTCCAGGTCCAGATCTCTCGATCTTCCGTTTTCGAATGCCATGATTTTTTTCTTTCTTTCTTTTATTTATTTACTGAAAATATAAAAAATTAATCAGAACAAATATTAATTTAAAAGAGAAAAAAAAACAATTAACATAAAGTGTATTTTTTTAAATAAAAAAAAAATATTTATAAAAAATATAATAATTTAATGAAAAAATTAATAAAATAAAAATAACTTTAAAAAATTATAAAAAGAATTTTTTAATTTAAAAATATAAAATATATGGTAATCATTTTTTTTTTTAATAGGACAGAAGTGTCTTGTTTCAATACTCGGCGGGTTTGATTCAAGTTGAAATATAATATTATTGGTATAGAAAAAATTGTAATGTCAAGTTGTTTATTAGCCTGCTGTGTAATAGTATCTTTTTCTTTTTGCGATTAATAATATTGAAGTTATTTTTAGTTATATTTAAATTTGATTTTTATTTTGTTTTTCTAAAAATAAATATACTTGTAAAAAAAAAATACTAACAATATTTTCTGTGTTATGCGCTTTTTTTTTTTGGTTGACATCGATTGTTAAGACGTACCCTTTGCCTTGAAACAATTAGTGAATAAACGACTGCGTGGGCTATCAATTATGAAATTATTCTTGATGACAGTTTCCACACATAATTAAAATATTAAGACAATAATTTTTTCCAAAATTTTCTTGAATTTTTTTGTATCTTACATTTTTTTTTTTTTTTGTTTTTTCAAATTGAAATTATTTTTAATAATATTAAGATTAAAATAATATAAAAATATTATTGAAAAAAAATATATTATTAAAATAATAAAAAAAAAATTTAGCTGTAAATTGTTTAAATATATTTATATGTTAATTTATAAAAGTTGTTTCCTTGACTATGTAGTAATCTTGAAACAATTTTTTTTTTGTGCAAATATTTATACATGTGGAGCGTGTATTCATTGCATCGCACTTTTTACTTGCTTATTAGTTTTTTTTTTAATGAATGTAATTAGAACTCTGTGTGAAAATAGAAATCGTCCTTTCTTCCGGTTAAATTAGAACTTTTCTCATTTTACATGTAACATATTTATTCATATTTTTTTTTTTTTTTTTTGACAAATTCAAAATTTTGTTTTCTATTGCAATATTTTGAAATATTAAAAATAAAATTTCATTGTGCTCAGGGTCTAAATTTTTTTTGCGTCGCACCTGATTTACAAAAATTCTCGACGTTTCCGCATTGTATAAATTTAAATGTTTTTTTTGGGAAAATTGATTTTTTTTTTGCAAAAATAAAAAACCGTTTTCTAATCAGTATTCACTGTATTTGATTTTTTATTACAAATTTTATTGAATTATATTTTATTTATTGTTTAAATAATATATAATTGTAAAATAATTTTTTTTTAAAAATAATTATAAAATTATTTAAAATGAAATAAATTTTAACGATAGAAAATTGTTTTCCAAAATATTTTCTAATTTTTCTTTTCCCAAAAAATATTTTTGTAAAAACATTTTTTCGAAGTAAATATTTTTTTTCATTTTTTATAATTTAATTTTTTATTTGCAAAAATTTTTCACTCATTAATCAGTAACAATATTCTTTGTAAATTATTCACTCTTATCGTATAAAATTCCATTATAAATTATAACCTGGCACAATTCCAAGAATTAGTAAATAATTTCTTGGTAAAAAAATTTAAAAATTATATCAAAAAATTTACCTTTTAATTTTGAAATATTTCTCTTGGTTAAAAAAGAAAATTCTTCCAAAAACTATAAAATTATTTTCCCTTAGCTTTTTTGATATTCCATTGTGAGAGAGTATATCAATATTAGTTCTTGATTAAAACAAGTTTTAAAGGCATCTGTTACCCTGTATAAAATAATTACCGGAATTTAGTTCAAGAATTATGTTTTAAAAATTATTTATAATAAGCACTTTGCACTTTTGTTTTGTAAAAAAAAAAAATTGTATTTTTTGAAAATTTTCGTTACGAAAACGTTGAATAGCATCACACGCGGTTTTTTTTTTTTTTTTTTTTTTCACTAAAGCCGGTGTATTACGTGTACTGTATATACATATGTGAATGAATGAGAGAGAAAGAGCACGTGCTTTTCTAATATTAATAAAAAATTTTTGAAAAAATTATTTAAAAAAAAAAAATTTGGTATTAAAATTTGGTTTTTTATTTATTTATTTATTGTTTTTTTTTTTTTTTATTTAACCGGCACGTGTGACCTTTATGAAAGCCCGATTTCCACTGGCGAGGATTGCACAATCTCCTCGCCATATAACGGCGCATACACTTCCACCAATTCCTATTATAGGAGGAGTTTGTGTGTGCACAGTCACATTTATAAAGAACTTAAAGAAGTATTCGGCTTTTGTACATATATATTGAATTCTGGGCGTTCATCCACATGGAATGCACGTGGTTTTAGGGAACATTGAAAACAGCGTCCTCCTCTGGTGCTTTAGAAAAACGATATATATATATATATATATATATATATATATTCGAAAATCATCCCTTTTGTATTGTTATATAGAGAAGGGACCCTTTTCATCAAGGCTCGTATCCTAATTGTCTTGAACCCTGTGTTTACTTTTCTTTTTTTCTATTACAAAAAAAAATTCTATAATTTGGAATTTTTTCATTTCTATTTAAATAAAAATATATATAATTTCCCCAAAAAAAAAATTCTGAGAAAAAAAAATTGAATATATATAAATTATTTATTCATACGTGGTTTTTTTTTCCAATAATTTCCATCTTTGGCTGTTTCCTAACATATCCTATGAAAAAAAAAAATCGATCTCTATAAGGATGTTCAAATTATTGTACAACGTATGTACATACGTGAAAATATATTAAAAAATTCTATAGTCTAAAATTTTCCTTAACGTAGGAAAATATTTTTTTTTTATCTAAAAAAAAAATTATCATCTAATATATTTCATAACGTATGTACATAAGGGAAAATATTTTTTTTTTATCTGAAAAGAATTCTAGTCTAAAATATCCCATTATGTACATACGGCAAAATATATTTTATTCACCTTAAAAAAAAAATCGAATCTAAAAATATAATACAAATTTTATTTATTTAAATAAGAATTAATTGAATGAAAAAATTTAATAATTCTTTACTTTTCTAAGAAAAAAAAAAAAATTATGGAAATTATTAATACATTAAAAGGAGAAAATTAATTAAATTTATTAAATTTGATAAAAAGCATAATTAATTTAATAATAAATTTTATTTATTGGCGATTATTTAATGTCTTCGAATCTTATTAATTGAAAATATTGTAATTTTTTTTCAAATTATGAAAAAAAAAAATACTTTTTTTTTTATTATCTTTTTAGTAGATTGTATGCAGAGTATGCTGATTTTACAATCTGCAAAAGAAATTTATTAAAATTAATAAATTAAATTCTGCAAAAAATAATTGCAAATTTTTTCGCAACAATATCTCTTTATAATTATTTTAAGCTTTTTTTCCTCCGAATTAAAATTTTATATTAAAAAAATTTTAATAAATTATTTATAACTTAATAATAATTTAATAATAATAATAATAAATAAATCATTAAATTATATATATATATATATATATATATATAATTAATAACGTAATTATTTATATAATTTATTAATTAATTAGTTAATAATTATTAATAATAATTAAATACACCAACTTTCATAAATGTATCAATTGACATGGTGACAAATGATGCACCTGTTAATTCAATAGGCCTTGTTGATCGTATCATTATTTTTATAAGATTTTTCTTTGTTTTAATTGTTAATTCATACCAATTGAGAAAATAAATTGCCTGTCCTACTTCCGAACTCTGTTATCAAATATTTCAAAATTTGATTATATTTTTTTTTTTTTTGAATATAATAAAAGTCAGAAAAAAAATTATGGAATTTTTTTTAAAAGATAGTAAAAAAAAAAATACTTACCTTTTCTGTAACTTTGTCACCGTAAAAACAATAAATAAAAATCTGAAATGTATAACTACCAACAGCAAAAAACATTATCCAAAATAATCTATCAGTTGGATTTAATTTTGATAAATTATAAATTATAGCGCAAAGATTAATCATTGAGGCAAAAAATTGTGTGAAAATCACTAAACCAAATTGTTTATTTAAATTATCTCCCAAGCTGTAAAACAATAAAAATATTTTAACTAAATAATTAAATTTTCAAAAAAATTAAATAATAATAATAATTAATTAATTTAATAATTAATAATTAATTAATTTAATAATTAATAATTAATTAATTTAATAATTAATAATTAATATAATTAGGTAATAATTATTAAATTAAAAAAAATAATAATTAAATTATAATTTTTTTTTTATTTTAATTTTTACTGTTTAAAAAATCAATTTTTGGAAATAAATTTTTTTTTTAAAAAGTCAATATTTCACTTACGAATATACATAAAGATGATGTTTAACGCAACGTTTTGTGAGTTCTATTTCTTGATGATAGGAATTAAATTGAAAATTATTTTTTTCCCACAATTCAGAAAGTAAATTTAAACGATGAATAATTATATCAAATTGACCACAAATTTGTAAAGAAATTGTTAATGCCAAACTTTCCATGGCGCCTGAAATTGTCACGGTCATAATAATGCCAATTGATTGATGTAAATATGAAAAAATGAATACAAGACTCGAATCAAGAGAATATGGTAACCATGCTGGTAATGGAAGTGTTGTAATATTTTTCGATGCCAATGGTACCAAGTACATTATAAATCCATTAATGTGCAACATGAGAAAAAACAAAATTGTATTTTGTCTGAAAAAAAATTATTTATTAAATTATTAATTAAATGAAAAAATAAAATAAAATAAATTTATTTAAAAAAAAAAATTAAAAAAAATTAAAATAAATTTATAAATTTTTCTATAAAAATAAAATTTACCTTCCTATACGAGAACAGTCTTGTAGTATAGCAATTTCTTTATCATCGCAAGGTTGACAAATTTCAGACAAAAACAATTGATTTGATTCGATAAATATTTTACGTGTTCGAAATAAAAGTCCCAGTTTAATTAATGCCGTCACAAATGTACAGCAATAAAAAATACTCTCTATTTGAGTGTCGATACTATTGTGTGATTGAAACATTGATGCAAAAAAAGAAATGTTAAATAAAATAAATATTATTACACAAATAATAGAATAAAAATTATAGAGATATAATTTCCAAAATGATTTCCAATTAACAGGTCGCCAAAATCCGAAAATTTGAAACATTGCATATGAATATTCACCCAAGTATAATAATGAATTTTTCCTCTCAAGTACCATTGGTACAATATTTAATTAATTAATTAATTAAATTAATTTTTAATTAATTTTTTTTTAATTTTTATTTATTTTATTACAATATTTAAATGAAACAAGTTATTTAAATTTTTTTTCTCTTTATAGAAAGAAAAAGTTTTAATTTGCAAAAAACTTTGTGTTCTTTTGACGACGACTCCTCTTTAATAAATTTTTTTCCTCTCAATTTTTATTTAATTTTTTTTTTAAGATACAATGTCTTAGAATTATTTTTTTAGTCTATTAAAAATTAATACCAAGGGAAATGTCAAAAAAAAAAACCTTTCTTCTATAAATAATTCAGAATATTGTTAGCAAAAGATATTGTATAGTTACTCTATTATTACGAATTGATTTGTCCATAATAAAAGATAAAGTATCTAAGAAAAATTTTTTTTTTCTTATATTTCAAGCAATTTGCATATTAAAATAGTTAACTTTGTACAATATTGCAATTTTTTTTTTCGATCCCTAATAGGGAATAGAAAAAATATTAAAGCCATAATCAACAAAATATTTTCTTCATATTTTATTGCTGCAAAAAAATTTTTCAATATATTGTCCCTATAGAGTATAATTTATGAATTTTTAAAAAGTTCTTGCGCAAAAAAAATATAGTTCAGTTTTTGTTTAGCTTTCTATCAGTTTACATAGATCCTTTAATTTTGTATAACAAAAAAAAATTATAAATGTCTTGCTACTTAAATTTTAATTTTTTCAGTTGAAAAACTTGAGGAAAAAATTTATTATAATTTAATTCCAAAAAATACGTTATTTAAAATAAATAAAAAAATAAATTATTAGGAAAAAAAAATAATTTTAATTATTAAAAACAAGATAGTTTATTTGTATTTTATTATTTAAATCCTACATAAAACGACAAACAAATTAGTATTATAAATGCTAATTAATTTTTATTACTACTTTCTTTCAAATTGTTAAAACAAAAAATTTATTGTCTTTTTAGTAAATTGTATGCAGAATATGCTGATTTAACAATCTGAAAAACAAAAATAAATTTTTAATAAAACAAGAATAATTTAATTTTTATTAATTAATTATATTGAAATTATTTTTTAGGAAACAAAATATTTTTTATTGGTACTAATAAAATATTTTTACAAAATATAAAAAAAATATTGAAAAAAAAATTTTTTTTCTAATAAATTAAGGAAAAACTTTTTCAAGAATTTTTTTAAATAAAAATATTAAATACCAACTTTCATAAATGTATCAATTGACATGATGACAAATGATGCACCTGTTAACCTAATAGGCCTTGTTGATCTTATCATTATTGTTATAAGATTTTTTTTTGTTTTTATTGTTAATCCATGCCAGTCAAGAAAATAAATTGCCTTTCCTACATCTGAACTCTGCGTTATTAATATTAATTTCAAAAAATTTCAATTATCAATAATCAATATAAAATAGTTAAAAATATTTTTTAGTTTTTGATTTAAAAGTTAATAATTAAAAAATATAAAAACCTTTTCTGTAACTTTGTCACCATAAAAACAATAAATAAAAATTTGAAATGTATAACTTCCAACTGAAGAAACCATAAGCCAATATATTCTACCATCAGGATCTAATTTTGATAAATTATATATAATAGCACAAAGATTTATCATTGAGGCAAAAAATTGTATGAAAATCACTGGACCAAATTGTTTATTTAAATTTTCTCCCAAACTGTTAGAATAAATATCATTTTATTATTTTTTACGATTGTAAAAAAATTTGCCAAAAAAAAAAAAATAAATAAAAAAAAAGTTTTCATAAATCTAAATAATTTTTTTTTCATAATTTTAAATAATTTTCGATCAATTAAAAATTAATATTCAATTAATTAATAATTATAAATATTATTAATAATTATTATTTAATTAATTAATAAGAAAATTAGTAATAAAAAAATATTTTTCTTGTTATTTTTTTTTTCGTGACATTTTTTTTGATTTATAAACAATATAACTTACGAATATACATAAAGATGATGTCTTATACAACGTTTGGTGAGTTTTATTTCTTCATCATATGGATTAGAATTTTTTTTATTATTATTATTATTATTATTTTTCCATAAATCGGGAAGTAAATTTAAACGATGAATAATTATATCAAGTTGTCCACAAATTTGTAATGTAATTGTTAATGCTAAACTTTCCATGGCAATTGAAATTGTCACTGTTGTAAACATTCCAATTGAATGATGCAAATATGATAACTTGAATACAATATTATTTTCAAGAGAATATGGTACCCATGTTGCTAACGGAAGTGATGTTACATTTTTTGATGCCAATGGTACCAAATACATTACCACTCCGGTAATATGTACCAAAATAAAAAACAAAATTGTATTTCGCCTGGAAAATTAAAAATTTTTTTTTAAAAAATTAAAATTTAATAATTTTAATTAATTTATTAATTAAAAAAAAATTAGTTTATTAATAATTTATAAATTAAATATAATTTTTTCTACCATATTTAATTATTGACTGAAAAAAATAAATCCTGTATTTTTTTTTTTACTTACAGTTGAAATTTTTTTTGAAATTAAAAATATTTTATTAATTTTTTAGAATATTTTTACTTTAAAAAAATATTTTTAATTTTTTAAAATAATTTTCATTAAAATAGAATAAATGTTGATTTTTTTTGGAAATTTAATTAATTATAATTTTGTTTTGAAAAATTACTTTTTTTTAAATTTAGTTTTTTTTAATTTTTAATTTTTTTTTTTTTTTTTTGGTATTTAAAAAGTAATCTTTAATTTTTTTAAATAATTTTCATTAAAATAGAATAAATGTTGATTTTTTTTGGAAATTTAATTAATTATAATTTTGTATTGAGAAATTACTTTTTTTTTAAAATTTAGTTTTTTTTAATTTTTAATTTTTTTTTTTTTTTTTTTTTGGTATTCAAAAAGTAAAATCTTACTTTCCTATACGAGAACAATCTCGTAGTATAGCAATTTCTTCATCATCGCAAGGCTGACAAATTTCGGACAAAAACATTTGATTTGATTCAATAAATGTTTTACGTGTCCAAAATAAAATTGTCAATTTTATTAATGCCATAAGAAATGTACAACAGTAAAAAATACTTTGTATTTGTGTTTCAATACTGTCATGTGGTTTAAACATTGATATGAAAAAACAAAAATTAAATATAACAAACATTATTACAGAAATTGTTGAATAAACACTGTAAATATAAATTTTCCATAATGATTTCCATTGAACTGGTCTCCAAAATCCACAAAATTGAAACATTGCATATGAATATTCACCCAAATATAATGACTCTTTTCTCTGATACGACATATAGTGCCTTTTTTAAAAAGTTTATAAAAAAAAATTAAATATTAAAAAATGTAAAAAAAATTTTGTAAAAAATATTTTCCTTTAAACAAATAATAATTTTTTAGAAAATTTTTATTTTTCAAAATTATTTCTGTAGAGGTACAAATTTTCTCTCAATCGATTTAAATTGCGTGTTCTCTTGACAATTTCTCTTCAATGTATGACTCTTTTTTTTTTAGATAATTTTTTTACCTTTATTTTTTTTATTTAATTTCTTCTAAGATACATTGTCTCAGAATTATTTGTAATCTATAAAAAGCAGTAAAAATAAAAAAAAACCCCTTTCTTCTATAAATAATTCAAAACATTGTTAGCAAAAGATATTTGTATCGTCGAGTTACTCTATTATTACGAATTGATTTGTCCATAATAAAAGATAAAGTATCTAAAAAAAAAGAAATTCATTTCTTTCTTTCAAGCAATTTACATATTAAAATAGTTAGCTTTGTAACGATATTGCTAACGTTTAATTTTTTTTTTATCATCATTTTGTTATCCCTATAATAGGGAATAGAAAAAATATCAAAGCCATAATCAACATGTTTTCTTTATATTTTATTTTCGAAAGAAGTAGTTCGATATTTTTCCTATAATGCATAATTTCTTAAAGATGAATATTTAAAAAGTTCTTGCGCAGAAAAAAAATTTACGATTAGTTTAAGTTTGTCTTTCATTGACTGCAGTTGAAAATTCGCAGATTATTTATGTCATTAATTATTAATCATTAATTAATTAAAAAATTATTTTTTTGTTACAGGGTAAGTGAGCGGAATTTTTAGAACATTATCTTGGAGCAAATTTTGGATAATTAGAATAAAAAAATTATTTTAATAAAAAATTAGAAACTTGCTACGATGGTAAGATATGTTTACTTAAATAAATTAATATTTAAATAATTGGAATTTAAAAATAAAAGTTTAAAGATATTGAATAATAATAATTACAAATTATTTAATTTAGAATAAAATACAAAATAATGTAAAATTTTTCTTTTTATTCTTTTTTTTTAGCTACATTTTATGAAATGATATAATTACAGAACTGTACATATTACAATTCACACTTTGTGAAAAATATAATTATACAATATTAATTATTTCTTTAGTTAATTGTTGTTAAACCCATTTTATAAAAAAAAAATTATAACATTTTTTTTATACGTTTAAAAAAAATACCTACTATTTTGTTTCGAAAAAATAATGCACATTAAAAATTGACATTTCTGTAGATTATTCACAAATTTTTCTTTTTTCTAATACTTTCTAAATTATCAGACATTTTTAAACTTAATTTTTTTATTCACAAACGAATTAAATAATTAAACTAAATTTTAGTTTAGTAAAATTTCAATTATCTAAATTATAATTAATTTTTTTTTGCAAGTGTCGATATTATTTTTTTTTAGTGTTTTTGAAAACATTCACATAAGTCGAATATTATTATTTATTTTTTTTAATAAATAATTTATTTTAACATTATAATAAAATGCAATTTTATATATTATGTATAAAATGCAATACTTATAAAATGGAAGCGATTTCATTGAATATTTTTTTTAGAATAATTTTTTATTTAATTATTGAATATTGTGAATTATTTTTTCATCACGATTTTTTAACGTTACACATATTTTAAGAAGGAAATATGTTTTTAGTAGTCTGTATGACTAACGCCATTGACATAGATTTTAAATCATCCTCTTGATTAATTTTATTATAATCGACTATCTCGCAAACAATGCACGTATATTATGCATAAAAAAAAACTTGTTCTTGATTGTACAATCATACCATATTATTCACCTAATAAAATAGTTTATTTTAAGATTAGAAATTAATAAAAACAATAATTTTCAAAACTGTTAATGTAAGCGATTGTAAATCATTTATTATAAAAAAAAATTCTGGTTTATTCGCATTCATTAATTTTTATTATTATTATTAACTCTATGATCGCTTAGCAATCTACTTTTATATCAGTCGGTTTTTTTTTCGAAAGTTTTTTTTTCTTATTGCTTCTTAGTTGAGCGAAACTTTCTAAAAATAATTTTTGTGACGTCTAAATTATCTCTACTTATTTGTCTAACTTCATTTTCTTTTAGCAAAAAAAAAAAAAAAAAAAAAAAATTATACTTTTCTATTTTTAAATAATAATAATAAATACTAATTCTAATTTTTATTTATCTTCATATTGTTATTTTTTCGATAAGTATCAGTATCAATTGAAAATATCAATTTTAATAAATAAAAGACATTATTTTTCTTTTTGGTAAAAGAATAATGTTAAACAAATTTTGAGAAAATTACAGACGTTTCAATAATTTAAGGCCTTAAGTGCATGTTAGGATTTTATTTTTAAATTAAAAAGAAAATCTAAAATTCAAGTTTTGTTCTTTCAGTTTTTTGTCATCTATTGCAAAATATTTTGAACGTAGAGACGAAATTTTTGAATTTAAATATGAAAAACATTTTTAAGTATTGTAAACAAAAATTGAATTCAAATCGAATCAAATTTTTAAAAATATCCCATTCACATGACTTTAAGTCTAAAAAAATTAATTTATCATTGAAATTCCATTTTCGCAACAAAAAAAAAAAAGAGGGAATTTTAATTATCACTGAATCCGCTAAATACTAATTCAATTGCCGCTTGTACATCACCATTTGTAATTTGAAGTGCTTGAAGATTAACGGAATCGTCTAAAAGTCCAATTTCGTGCATTTGCGCTAATTGTCTTTGTATATCGACTGATTGCGGTGGTGATGTTGGTGTTGATGGTGTTGAAACATTTGACGATGGATTAAATGCAAATGCCTGTTGCATTGCTTGTGAAAACATTTCAGTTGTAATAACACCTGAATTTCTACTCGCTCTCGATGATGATGATGAAGATGATAATGTACCACCACTATAGGGAAATCCTCTTGCTCCAGTTCTCGATAGTGCTGCAGCTAATTGAGCAGTTGTTACAGCCGAATTCGATGGATATCTATTTAATAGCGATGGTTGTGTTGAATCAGACGATTGCGATGAATCGCCTGCCATTTCTTCATCGTCACTTAAATTATCCAAACTATATGAATATGCTGTTGTCGATGCAGTTGAATTTGAAGGATCTGTATTTGTTGCCGCATTATGTGCTTCCTCATGAACAGCCGTTGAAATATGTTGTGCTGCCTCAACAAGCAGTGGATGTAATTCAGCAATTCTAAAAATTAACAATTTAAAACAAAATCACTTTTTCCTTTCTTTTACTTTTATTGTAAATATCTAATTATTATTCATGTTTTGTGAAAAATTTTTACCTTTTCACAGTTGCCGGATCTGTGAAATGAGCCATTAAATCAGGATCTTGTAACATTGCAATTGCTACAGTGTCCTGTCCAAGACCCGGTGATGATGATATAATATTTTCAATAACTTCAGGCCTCTTGCTTAGACGCTAAAAAATATTTAAAGAATTTTCCAATTCTATTTTTAATTGTAAATTTATTTTCAAATTTTCAATTAAATAAAAAAAATAGAAGCGTAGTAAAATTATTATTTTTCTTTTTCACTTACGTGTAAAGCACTTCTAAGTGCTGGATTTTCATTAAATGAACGAAATGCACTTGCAAGTTGTGTAATATTATTGTCGGAAAATGGTTTCACGTGTGCTGGTTCTTCTGGAATTTTTTTTCTCAATACATGAATCATTGCACCATTTTTTAAACCACACGATTCAAGAGTAGTGTCATCTTCCAAAATACAACCACAATATATTAGTTCTGCAAATAAAACAAAGAAATTTAATTAATTATTCATTAATAATTAATAATATAATTTTTTCTTATCTTGAATATTAATTTTTCTATTTATATTTAAATATGAAAGAAATTTAATGAGTTCAAATATTACGAACTTTTTATTGAAAAAGAGTTTTAGGTTATGTAAAGTAACACAAAGGATTTTTATTTTTAACTTTTATTTACAGTTAATTCTAAAATCAGTTATTAATTTTTATAATTTAACATTAATAACAAATATTTAATAATTGTTTCATATATTATAATTTTATGTAATAAATCGAGAAAAATACAATATTTACATTTTCATGTTTTAATTTTTTTTTTTAAAGTTAACCTTTAGGATTTTAAAAAGATAACCTATTAGAAATTGTAGAATATGGAAAAAAAATATTGATAAACAAAAGAAAATTGTATATGAAAAGAAATTGAGGCCAAATCTTCTTACCAAATGTATCCTTTTGTAGGTTAGTTTTTCCTGCTGCTTCATTTCGTAGTTCTTCTACTTTATTTTTTAAATTCACATCACTTATTTTAATTGGCGTTGATGTTTGAATCAATAAACGATAATTTAACACAATTTCCATATTTATTTCTTTATTTTTTATTATTAAAAAACAAAGAAAATTACACTGATCCTTTGTTTAAAAAGCAGTGATGTAGCACTAAATGTAAATATCTCAATGACAATAAACAGCTGATGAGTGAAGTTGGCCATCTTTATTCATGGCGCGTTCCCATTGGCTAGTTGGCTCTTTAATAAATTCATGAATGAATGCTGCATTCTGATTGGTTTACAACCTGTAGTAGAGTACACACGTAGTACTCCATGAATTCCTGGAAATACTATTTAATTCAACTTTTTGTTATTTCAATAATAAACGATTTTAAAGAAGTTCTATCGTAAATAAACGATTGGAAATGGTTAATAGGTTATTGTAGTTGATTTTTAACATGATTATACGTATTATTACTGAAGGATATTAATAATATATGCAAATATTAATATTATTATGTATATAAATTTTTTTTTTTATTTTTAATATGTTTAACGCATATAAAATTATGAATATTAATAAATTAATAAAAAAAATTTTTTTTAAATAATTTTCTATTCTCATCAGGTATTAATTTTTAATTCTCATTTTTAATTACTAAATTAAATTAAAAAAAATTATAATTAATTAATCAATAAATTATTATTTAATTGATAAATTAATATTAAGTAAATTAATAATTATATTAATATTATAAATTTATTAATAGATAGTAATTAATTAAATTAAATATTCAATTTTATTTATAATAAATAAAAAATAATAATTTAAATTTTTTGAAATGATTTTTAATTTTTTTTTTTTTTGAAATTGTTATGAAAATTGTGGTTTAAATAATTAATTTTTAATTATTATTATAATTATAATGAAATAATTTTTTTCTACATTGTTTTTGAATGTAGCGGTTTTTGTGTATTTTTCTCGCGCTTGCGTCTTTGAAATTTCATGTTGCCCACGCATTTTGTGAAATATGTTGAGAAACACATCTAAATTGGAAGTGGTTACACAGACTAGACAGAAGGCGCCTCTTGTCATGTCGAGAGACTGTTTTTAAAAAAAGGAAATTATTTATTTTTTTTTGTGAAAGTTTGAAAAATAAAAGTGTAAATTTATTTTTATATATATATTTTTTTTATCTGTGATTAAGTGTTTGAAAAAAATGCCACGATTTCATAAAATTGAGATCAATAGAACGGAATGGGAAGTTCCAGAACGATATCAAATGCTTACCCCGGTGGGATCTGGTGCTTATGGACAAGTTTGGTAAGAAAAAATAAAATTGATATCTATCTATAGGGAAAAAAAAATCTATTTTTAAATAAAAAATCTTTAAATAAACTTGGAATTTTTTTTTTAAATTTAAATTTACACTTTTAATTTTCCTCGAAACAAACTTATTGTGTTTATTATATGTATATATAGTGATTGTATATTTTTGTTGAGCAATACAGTGTCAATTGCATGAAACACTTATCATTCTCACATTACTATTTTAGACTTTCTAAAATTGTGGGCATTCAAAACAAACAGATTATTGCCAAGAATTTTCTTGGCATTGATTTTATTTGAATTAATTAAACATTTATTGTATTTATTTATTTTTTTGAGTAAATTTTTTTTTTTACAAATTGGTTTAATGATCTTTAAAAGATAATTTATTTCCCTTTGTATTTGATAATACATTGATAAATGGATTATAACGTTTAAATTGTGATTTTTGTTTTGTGATAGTGTAAAATTGATAAATGTTTTTTTTTTTTTAAAAAAAGTCTTAAAAATTATCTTGATTCTGACCTCTACTCAGTATTTTAAGTTACCTTGATGGATTTAAGTTTAGAAAACCTGCACGTATAACAGGTTGACCTATAACAGGTGCCCTTCTATTATGTCAACAGAAAAACATGTGGCACAATTATTATCATTTTATAATATGTAATTGTGAATTTTAATTGAAATTTTTTTTTCTGTTTTAAGAAAAAATATTTTTTTTACAAAGAAAATTCTTTCCATAAAAAAAAATTCCAGACATTTTAGAAGGAATGTTTTTTTAAAATTAATAAAATTTAAAAAATTGCAAAATTAAAAAAAACATTTTCATAATTGTTATAATATTAATTTAATAATAAATTTAATAATTATTAATTTATTATTAATTTATTATTAATTTATTATTAATTTATTATTAATTTATTATTAATTTATTATTAATTTATTATTAATTTATTATTAATTTATTATTAATTTATTATTAATTTATTATTAATTTATTATTAATTTATTATTAATTTTTGTTTTCATTTTAATCAAGAATTTATCTTCTTGAAAAATATGTTTTTTAAACACACTGTATTTTTAGAAAATGGTTAAAAATAGTAGTTAAATATATTTTTTTTTGTATCCAGTTCTGCAGTAGATGTTACAACTGGTCAAAAAGTAGCTATAAAAAAATTAGCACGTCCTTTTCAATCTGCAGTTCATGCTAAGCGAACTTATAGAGAATTGCGAATGCTCAAACACATGAATCACGAAAATGTAAGTTTACCACAAAAAAAAATATTTATTTAAAAAAATAATTTTTTTATTTTATTCTAATAATTATAATTAATTTTTTTATTTTCTATTTAAAAAAAAGTTATTTTTATCTAGAACAAAGTTTTTCACTAATATTATAATAATATTACTAATTAGTTGTTAATTATAATTATGGTAAATTAAATTATAAATATTATTATTTTAAATCCTTCTTTTTAATTTATATTATTTTTTATATAAATTTAAAATTAATTAAATTTAAATTTATTTAATATCGTGTAATTAATTAATGACTAAATTATTATTTTAATTTAGGTAATTGGATTATTAGACGTATTTCATCCGTCAACGTCTCTTGAAGACTTTCAACAAGTGTATGTATTTTGAAAAAAAAAAATTAATTTTTATCTGATTAAAAAAAAAAAAAATTTTATTCCATTAATTTTTGACAAATTTACAATATTAATTATAGGTACTTAGTAACGCATTTAATGGGCGCTGATCTTAATAATATTGTCAGAACACAAAGGCTTTCAGACGATCATGTGCAATTTCTTGTCTACCAAATTCTTCGCGGTTTAAAATATATTCATTCGGCAGGAATTATTCATAGAGTAAGTTTTTGTGTTTGTAAAATGAAAATTTGGATTATTATCAATTTTGTCGCTATAAAGAAATAATTTTGCGAAAAAAATTTTTTAAATTGATAAAATAATTAAAAAATTTCTTTTTTAGGACCTGAAACCGTCCAATATAGCAGTTAATGAAGATTGTGAATTAAAAATATTGGATTTTGGCCTCGCGAGACCAACTGAAAATGAAATGACTGGTTACGTTGCAACAAGATGGTACAGAGCACCAGAAATTATGTTGAATTGGATGCATTATAATCAAACAGGTTTTGAATTTATTTCCTATTTTTTTTTTAAAGAAAAATATTTGAAAGAAAATTTTTTTTTTTAACTACAAAAATATTTTAAAAATAAAATTTTATTATTAATAATAATAATAATTAGTAATTATTTTTTATTTATTAATTTATTTATAATTTCAGTTGATATTTGGTCTGTGGGTTGTATAATGGCTGAACTTTTGACAGGAAGGACATTATTTCCTGGAACAGATCGTATCCTTTCCATATAAAAAAAAAAAATTTCTTAATTATTATCAAAGCTCTGTTTTAATTAATTCCAATGGCTGTGATTTTATTACATACTTCAACGAATCATTTTTACAGCAATCATTTGCCAATAATAATTTATTGCATTGCTTTTACTTTTATTTATCTCATTTTCATATATATAGATAGAAAAATCATATTAACAAAATTGCTTTTTGCTAAGGATCTGCTGAGACATTGCATTTTTTTTTTTAAATTCAATTTTGATAAAATTCATTTTACTGCTATATGCTTGCATCTGCTTTTCTCATATTTTTTTTAATAAGTCACAAATTATTCAATATGAATAAAAATAAAATTTTTAATTATTAAAATTTTTTTTATAATTTTTCTATAGATAAAATTTTTTTTTCAAAAATTATACTGATATAATTAAAAGTAAAATAATTAATAAAAGATTTAAAGAGATTCAAGTTGAGAAATAAAAAAAAAAAATTTGTAGAACCTTAGCAAAAGCAGATATTCATCAATTGAATCTCATAATGGAAATTTTGGGCACTCCACGAGACGAGTTCATGCAGAAAATTTCATCCGAGTCGGTAAGTTAATGAGTGTAGATCACAAAATTAAAAAAAAAGAAATAAAATAGAATTTATTTTCAAAAAAAATTTTTTTTTAAATCACCTGATTGACAAAAAAAATGAATGCAAAGAATTTTTATTAAAGAAAAAATTAAAAAAGAATTGATAATTCAGTGAAATTTAATTAATAGCTAAGAAAATATTTCATCAAGTTTGAATGATTGTGTATTTTATTTTTGACTCAGTGACTCAGCATTTATGAAAATAAATTATTTTTTTTTTGCATTTATTATAATAAATATTTTTAATTTTTGAATCATACTTTTTTTGCTTTTAATAATTGTGCATTTTTTTTATAAATGTGCTTTTGCTTATATTTAATAATTAGTAATTGAATGATACAACTGACATTTGTGTAATTTTTTTCCAATGCATGACAATCATTAATATTCAAAACTAATTAAAATATTATACCTCTGCTCCGCTTTTAAATTACCTTAACGCTATAAGCAGACATTGACCATTTAACACGTGTTCTCGTGCTCTGTGGAACTCCCACAGAAGAAACTTTAAGCAAAGTTACCAGCCAAGAGGTAAATCCAAAATTATTACCAAAAAAAAAAAAAAATGTATAGCAATTTAAAAATAATGATAAAATTTTACTCGATTTAAAGATAAAAAAAGCGATAGAAATATTTTTTGTTTAATTTTAGAAAAAAATACAAAATTCTAATTATTTTTATTATTTTTATTGATTTTTTAAAAATAATTAAATTTAATAAAAATTAATTAATAAATTTAAAAATAATTAAATTTTTAAGAGAAAAATATTTTTATTTTTGTTTCATGTTTTGTGAAATAATTCAAAAGTTGGAAAAATTAATTTTATATTAATTTTATTTTATTGTTAACTTAACAAGGTTTCACTTATTTGTTTATAAAAACCTTTACTTTTTCGCCTTCTTTCTCTAAAATTGTCTAAAATATAATTCTTATGGTGTACTATAAAAATATTATATTTTTTGAAATTAATCGAGTTTATTTAAATTTAAAATCGAGCATTAATTTGCATACTGCATCTTTAAATATAAACACGGTGATTCATATTTTTATACGCATTTTGTTGGGATAAAATACAATTTTAGAGAAAGTGTCTATAAAATTAAAATCTACATTTATTGTTTAGTAATTATATTTCTTTGTTTTTTTAATGTAGTAAAAAATTGATTTTTTTTATTGTTTCATTGAAATAATTTTTATTTATTGATATTTATATGGAAAAAAATTTTTTTTTCTAGTTTTCGGAATTTATTTTGTAAATTTCCTTCAATTTGGACACATTCCAAATAAAAAGATCTTTGACATTTACTTACTATCTATAGATTTAAAAATGTTTAATTTATATTTTTTTTTTTGTTCGAACATAATAAAATTCAATTTTATTTAAAAAAAAAAACTGCATGTTGTGTGTTTGTTTTGTTTTGTTATATTTCTTTCTATTATTAAATTAATGGATAATTTTGTAATTAATTTGGTAATTTTATTTTTTAAAAATTTTTTTAGGCGAGAAATTATATTCAAAGTTTACCACTTTTGAAGAAAAAGAATTTCAAAGATGTTTTTCGTGGTGCCAATCCTCTAGGTATGTAATTTATAAAATATTAATTTTATTACTTTAAGGTAAGTATATTTACAATTTTTTTTTTTTAATTATTTGAAATCGAAAGAATTATTTAAAAAATAATTTTCTCTCTCTTTTTTTTTTAAATAGCAATTGAGTTATTGGAATTAATGTTAGAATTGGATGCTGAAAAGAGAATTACAGCTGAACAAGCATTGGCTCATTCTTATCTTGCACAATATGCTGATCCAACAGACGAGCCTGTTTCACTTGCTTATGATCAGAGTTTTGAAGATATGGATTTACCTGTGGAAAAATGGAAAGGTGGAAAACAAATTTTTACAAAATATTTTTTTAAATAATTTTTTTTCTAAATTTTTTTTTAAATATTTTTTTTTACTAATTATTATTTTTTTTTACAGAACTTGTCTACCACGAAGTAGTAAATTTTGTACCGCAACAATTACCCGTACCACCAACAAGTGATACAACATCATAAAAGTACAAAAAAAAAGTCAATATTACAAATTTTTGTTTGTAAAAGGCAAAAAATTGATAAATAGCAATATTGCTATATAAAAAAAAACTACCACTGTACATAAGTTACAAATAACTTTAAAAATAAGGTGAAAATACGTATATTTATATATATGAGCTTATATTTTCTTAAAAATGCAAAGAATTCTATTTTAATTACTTAAAAAGTGACACAATAACAGTGTAATAGCAGCATTTTTTTTTTTTTTTTTTTTTAAATTAATGTTCCTTGAAAAATGTGATTTTGTACTGTGTACATAGTTCAGTTTAATGCCATATATATTTAAAGGAACTCAATTATGTACTGAAATATACATAAAAAAAAAAAATTATATAGAGCAGGATTTTATAAAGTTAAAATAATTGCATCAAAAAATTATATATTTTTTTTTCATATTTTATCAAATTTTTTTCTCTTGTTGTTATTGTTATTAAATAATTGTCCATTTATTATTTGTTTGGTTAATATATGTAGCAAATCAAGACATCACAATATAATTTATATAATTATTATTGTTACAAAAAAAAAGAATAATAATTAACTTATTTCGGCTATAATAGTATACATACTAAATGTAAACTATATATATAATGAATATTAATTGTAAATTTTGTAGAATTTATTAAGACACTTTTTTACATGTGCACAAATAAACTAATGAAAAAACTAAAAGCACGTAGATAATTTTTTTTTCAAAATAAAATACAAATTTATTATACATAATGTATATTTATAATTATATTATATTTAATTTATATTTATATTAATTATAATAATAGATATAATATATTAATATTATTTAATAAATATTAAAAAAATATTTTAGAAAATATTGATAAATATTGTGTTTAGAAGAATATTTTATTGGAAGTATTTAATACTGCTAGAGTTAAAAAAAAATTTGTTCACTTCCTTTTTTTTAATTTTAAATTATGAAACATTTGAAAGTAAATTATAAGAAGTATAAGCGGATTTGATTACCTGAAAATGAAATTATTTTATTTTTTCCAAATATCGTAAATAATATTCTAGAAATTATATTTTTAGAAAAGAAATTTTTTAAATAATTGTTTGAATAAAAATAATACTAACTTTAACAAATGTGTTAATGGACATGATGATTGCAGAAGAACCAGACAATTGAATTGGTCGAGATGCTCGCATTGCAATCATACTTAGATCATATTTTGTCTTCTTTGCTAAATTGGGCCAATCAATATTCCAAATTTCATGTGAAATCGCCAAACTCTATAAATGATATAATTTTATTTTTTTATTCCTATTTAACTAAAGTGTTTTTTTTTAAATTCGTTCCTCACTAATTTTTTCATAAAGTTGTAAGCTTAAAAAAAAAAATTATTATTATTATTAAATAAAATAAAATTTTTAATTGGAATTAAATTTTTTAACATTTATAATAATATAATAATATTTATAATAATAATTTAATTATTAAAAAAAAATTACTTTTTCAATTAGTTTCTCTCCATAAAGATTGTAGACAAAAGTTTGAAACATAATGGAACCTAAATGTATTAAAAACATCAATGCATCTGTATTCATTCTTGATAATTGAAAAATTATAAGACACAAATCCATCATCGATGCAAAGAATTGTATAAATATTACAAAACCAAATAAATCGTTTAATTTTTCTCCAATTCTGTAAATAGAAGATTTTTTTTTCACGTCTGAATAATTCACGTTTTGAAATTTTGTCAGATTTAAATTAAAAATTTTTTTCAATTAATAATTCATTAAATAAATATTAATATTAAATTATTATTAAAATTATAATTTTTAATTATATTACTTACGCGAATATATAAATATGATGTTCAACACAGTCTCTAATTATTTTTGATTCAAAATAATATTTAACACATTCGGGATAATTTTCATAATTTCCAATGGATAATGAATTTAAACGATGAATAATAATATCTAATTGTCCACCAATTCGAAGTATAATTATCATAGCAAAACATTCACTTGCTATTGTTGTCCAAGCTGTTATGATAAGTGCAAAACTTTGATATAAATAGGTGGAAAAAAATACTAATTTAGAACTATTAATATTATATGGAAACCAAGATGAAATCATTAATGAAAATTGTCCATTCTTCTCAATTGATGTTATAAATAAAATAATTAAACTTGAATTAATCATTAACTGATAGATGATGGTGTTGATTCTATAAAAAAAAATTTTCAAATAATTTTTGATTTTTAAAAATCAAAAAATTAAAAATTAATTTATTTACTTGCATGTTCGTGAAACTTGATGTAATATTTCAAATTCATAAATATCACGTGGTTGACAAATTTTTTCCGACAACATTTCATCTAATTCGATGACAGTTTTTTTTTTAATTGCAAAACTAATTATTTTTATATAAATAGCAAATGTTGCAGAAAAATAGAAAAGAGTTTTTGTAAATTCATCAACATTATTAATCACTTGCATTAAATAGGGTATAAATGAAAATACAAAATAAAAATAAACGGTAAAATTAAAAATTGAATAAATTTTACTGAAAATAATTTGCCAATTTTTTTTGGCAAAAAATGTGGGTCGCCATATTCCAAAAATTCGAAATACAGTAAATAATATGTTTCCAGTAAACATTTTTAAAAGGAAATTATTTTATTTTTTCAGTCTATAAATTTTTATTCATTTTATATATGGAAAAGGAGAAATATAACTTTTGTCCCGTTTGAATTATAATGTGAGACTCTTTTCTTTGCAATTCACATTTTCACCACCTATATTTTAATCGATAAATAATTCATTTTCTGATACTTTGCAAATGGTCTGAATGAAAGGGTTAAATTGTTAAATAATTTATTTTCACATTTTATACATTCGAAGACATTTATTTTTAATGATCAACTTGGGAAAATTATTATTCGTATCAAGAAAATAGAAATTGAGGGATAATTATTATTATAGTTCTACTCTAAGAATATATTGTATATTGTATATATCGTTACTTTCATATTACAAAGTTAAGAATTATGTTTAAAAAAAAAAAAAAAAAAATTCGAAGTGATTATAACATGAAGCTAATGTTACCAATTTATAATATGTCTAAAAAAAAAAATTTTTTTAAGAAAAATATATAATAATCTTCTAAGACCAAAAAATTAATTAATTTAAAAAAAAATTAAAGAAAAAGTATAGAAAAAACTGAATATAAATTAGATTTAAATTATTAATTCAATAAGTGTAAGTAAAAAATTTTCAAAATTTTTTATTTTTCTCATTTTAATATGAAACTAGTTAAATTTATTGTTATTCTATTATTTAATTTATAATTAATAGAAATAATAAAAAAAATTTTGTGAATATAATTTAATAATATAGTCAAAAATTATATGATAAAGTTCAAAAAAATATTTTTTTTATATTTCATTGGAAGTATTTAAAGATTTATGCTAAAAAAAACGAGTTTTCAAAAATATGTTTTTTGAGAACTAATTTTTTTTTTTATGTTGCAAATTTCACTAATTAAAAAATACTGTTAAATACAGTTAAGTATTTTTCCTTTAAAATTTGAAATTAAAAAAAAAATTACGATGAATTGGAAAGTAAATTATACATAGAATAAGCTGATTTAATCACCTGGAAAAATAAATAGATTTAATACCTGATTTTTTTAGATTAGAATTTTTAATTAATTAATTTAAATTAAATTAATTAATTAAAAAAAAATTTTTTTTTGTCTAAATCATATTTTTAATTTACTTTTGAAAAAAAAATAATACCAACATTAACAAAAGTGCTAATAGACATGACAATTACAGAAGAACCAGTCATTTTAATGGGTCTAGTGGCTCGCATTGCTATCATATTAAGATCTTTTTTTGTCTTATTTGCTAAATTAAGCCAATTTATGTGCCAAATTTCATGTGAAATCGCCATGCTCTGAAAATTTTTTTAATTATTTTTATATATTTCAATATAATTAAAATATTTGGTTTTTTTTAGTTAGTTAATTATTAATTAATAATTAGTTAATATATATATATTTATTCATTTTAATTTGTAAAAGAGTAAAAAATTTATTTTTCATTGTAATTAATCAATTTTATTAAATTTCAATTAATTTATAAATTGCAATAAAAGCAATTTTTTTCCTTTTTAACGATAATATTAAAAATTTCTAACTTTTTCAATTAATTTCTCTCCATATAAACTGTATATAAAAATTTGAAATAAAACAGCACACAAGTAGAGCAAAAAAATCCAGGAAATTGTATTAATCGTTGATAATTGGAAAATTATAGCACATAATCCTATCATGGAAGCAAAGAATTGTACAAAAATTACTAAACTAAACAATTCATTAATTTTTTCTCCCAGCCTGTAAATAAATATTTTTATTCAATTCTCTTTTTTTAAATAAATTTTTGTATTTTTTTTTTAAATATTATATTTTCCAAAAATTTAGGCAAATAAATAACTATAAAAAAAAATAAATTAAAATTATTCGTTTATATTTTATAAACAATTAATTTTAATTTTTTTTTAAATGTTAATTTTTTTTTATAAAAATTAAAATTCTTATTTATTATTAACAAATTTTAATAATAGTGTAAAAATTAATTATACCAAAAAAATGACTTGTAAAATGATTATACATACGTGAATATATAATTATGATGTTTAACACAATTTCTAATGATTTTCGATTCAGACCAATTTTCACTTTGACAAATTGATAATAAATTTAAACGATGTAAAAAAATATCTAATTGACCACCAATTTGAAGTGTGATAAGCATAGCAAAACATTCACTTGCTATTGTTGTCCAAGCTGTCATTGCGAGGGCAAATGTTTGATATAAATATGTAAAAAAAAATATTAATCTCGAATTATTAACATTATATGGAATCCAAGTATTGAATATTAATGAAATATTTCCATTTTTTTCAATTGATGAAAATAATAAAAATATTGCTGTTGAATTAATCATTATTTGAAAAATTATCGTGTTGTTCCTATAAAAATAGAATTTATTAATTTTTTTTAAAAATTAATTAATATTTCGAATTAACTATTTTTTATTTTTATGCAGTTTTTTTTTATTATATATTTGAAACAAAAAAATTTGCATAAAAAAAAATATATATATCTTTTTTATATAATTAAAAATAAATTAATTAAAAAAAATTATTATCTACCTTGATGTTTTTGAAATTTCTTCCAATATTTCAAATTCATAAACATCACGTGGTTGACAAATTTTTGCCGAAAATATACTTTGCAATTGAATGATAGTTTTATTTTTAATTGTAAAACTAATTATTTTTATTAAAATAGCAAATGATGTAGAAAAATAGAAAAGTGTTTTTGTAAATTCATCAACATTATTAATCACTTGTAAAAGATGGGCAAAAAATGAAAATACAAAAAAACAATAAAATGTTAAATTAAAAAATGTATAAATTTTATAGAGAATAATTTTCCATTTTCCATTGAAATATTCAGAACGCCATATTCCAAAAATGCAAAATATTGTAAATAATATTTCTCCTTTGAACATAATTAGAAAAATTTTATTATAAAAAAAAAACAAAAAAAAATATATATATAAAATTAAAAAAAAAGTGACGAGAATCTATTTTTTCATTTTACAATATTAATGGAAGAAAGGGAAGTTTTTGATAGTCGTTAACTTTTGTCCTGTCTCGACTGTAATGTCAGGTTCTTTCTTCATTTCATATTTTCACCCCATTTTAATCGATAAATAATTCGTTTTCTGATATATACAAAATGAAAAGGGTTAACTCGGTATTTAGTAAATAATTTATTACCGTATTTTGCATTCGACATTTCTCGTTTATATTTAATGAGAAACAAATTATGGGAAATTATTATTCGTATCAAGAAACGAGAAATTGAAAGATAATAATTATTTGTTACATGTTCTCTAGACATAGAAAATATATTAATATAAATATACTTACAATGTTATATAGAAATTATATGTTGAAAATTATTTTTCAATTAATTACATTATATTTATTATAACACGAAATTGAAAATTTTTATGAGAAAAAATAATTTAAGACAAAAAAAAAGCAGATTTTTATAATAAATTTTTTTATTATCGTCAATAATTGCATTTTAATTGGAAAAAAAAATGTAAGGTAATATTTTTTAAAATTAAATTTTTTTGAAGGTTTTTTTCCAAAAAAAAAAAAGTAAATCTTTGCGAAACAATTATTTTTATATTTGCAAAAAAAAAATATTCGTTTTTTTTAAAATTTCTATACATTTTTAAACTGGAAACAAAATTTTTATTAATTTTCTCTTATTTTTAATGGATATAGAAATAATAATTTCTTTTATTTTAAATAAAAGTATTAGAATAAAATTTTTTTAAAAAGTTTTTTAATTGTTTATTTTATAGAAAAAAAGAGAAATATTTCTTTAACTAGTAATACATTTTTAATTTATCTGTAACTTATTTTATGGAATATCTTTTTTTTTTTTAATTATACAGCGCTTGTCAAATTATACATTGTGTATGCTGATTTTATCACCTAAAAAATTAATTTGAATTATAAATTATAATTATAATAATTAGAATAATTAGAATAATTAGAATAATTAGAATAATTATAATAATTATAATAATTAATTAGAAGTATCGTAAACTATTTTGAAAAATTTCATTATTTTAAACAATAAAGAAATTTTGAGAAAATTATTTTTAAAAAATACCAACTTTAACAAATATCGATAGTGACATTTCAATTATAGATGAACCAGTCATTTTAATTGGCCTTGTTGCACGTATCATAATAAAACTAAGATCCTTTTTTGTTTTATTTGTTAAATTAATCCAATTTAAATGCCAAATTTCATGCGATATTGTCTGACTCTGATAATTTTAATTATTTCAAATAATTATTATTTTTATTAAATAAATTATATTTTTTGAATCTATATATTAATATTTATTATTTACTATATAGATATTGAAAAGTAAAAAAATTAATTAATTAATTAATATTTAATAATTTAAATTAAAAAAAAAATATTGCTAACCCTTTCAATTAGTTTTTCTCCATAGTAACTGTATAAAAAAATTTGAAATATAGTGCTACTCAAATAAATAAAAAATAACCAACTTGAATGATTATTCATGTCTATTTTAGATATTTGATAAATTATTGCAAAAATAGCTGTCACGGATGAGAAAAATTAAACAAAAATTACAAAGCCAAACAATTGATTCAGTTTATCACCTAGCCTAAATTATTATTTTATTATTATTATTATTATTATTATTATTTTTTTATCCTTATTAACATTAATAATTAATTTTTATTTTTTTATGAATATTAAAATTAATGCGTTTGAATTTTCAAATTATTTTTTTCTTATAAAATTGCATTTGTAAAAATTTATTAAAATAATATTATAATAATGAGGACTTACGTATATATATAATTATGATGTGTAACGCAGTCTTTAATTATACTAGATTCATGTTGATGTAACATAAATTTAGAATAATTATTATTTTTACATATTTTGTAATTAGTTAAAAAATTTAAACGATGTACAACAATATCCAATTGTCCGCCAATTTGTAAAATCATTAACATTACAAAACATTCAATTGCTGCTGTTAACATTGCCGTCATCCATAGTGCAAATGTTTGATATAAATATGTGGTAAAAAATATAAATCTCGAATTATTTACATTAAATGGATACCAGGCATTTAATATTAATGATTTTTTCTCCACTGATAATATAAATAATAATGATGTTGGTACGGTAATCATTATTTGAAAAATAATTGTATTTATCCTGAAAAAAAAAAATTAAGAAAGTTAAAAAAATTTCAACAAATTATTATTAAAAAATATGAAAGAAGAATAATTTGAATAAAAGTAAAAAAAAAAAAAGTGTCGAGGGCTCAAAATTTTTTACTAAAAAAAAAAGAGGGTTGAAAAAATAATTCTACATTTTTTAACAATGAAAAGAAAAAAATTTATTTTATTTAAATAATCAGTTACTTGACTATCAAATAAATATTTACTTGAAGCAATTATAATTTTTATTTAAATTAAATAAACTTTATTTAAATTTTTAATTTGAACTTTATTTGAATAAATAATTTCTATATTTGAAAATTGAAATAAATAAAATTTAATTGAGATAAAAATTATTAAATTTTTGATTAAATTTGATAATTTGAAATTAATTTGATAATTAATCAGATTACTTGAATTAAATAAATTTATTTTTTTTTTCAGTGATATTACCTGCTTGTTTGTGAAATTTCTTGTAATATTTCAAATTCATATAAATCACGTGGTTGACAACGTTTATCCGAAAACATTGCATGTAATTCAACAACATAATTATTTTTTATAACAAAACTAATTATTTTTATAAAAACAGCAAACACACAGGAAAAATAAAATAATGTATGTGTAAAATTGTCCGCATTTTCAGTCACTTGTAAAAGATAAATAAATAATGATAATGTAAATGTAAAATGTATTGTTAAATTGAAAAATGTATAAAAATTGTAGAGGTAAATTTTCCATTTTTCATTATTTGAATTTAATGGTCGCCACATGCCAAAAATGTGAAAAATAGTAAATAATAATTCTCCCGTGAATAATTCCATTTTTTTTTTTAATTTTTTTTTTTTTTTTTTTTTTTTTTTTTATTTCACTGATGTATTTTCAGTTTCTATCAGTGTTGAATTATAACAAGAGTATTATAACCGTTTTGAGTGTCATCATCGATATAAATTTTCTCTTACATTATTTTCTCTCCCCCATTGATGATGAACATAATAAATTATTTTACCTCTCTCCGTTAACTTGCATATATATATAAATGTATATGGATTTCAATTTAAAAGGGTTTGAGATAATTACGTAGGCGAGCTGATATATAATATTTATTTTCATATTTTGCGCAGTCGATGACAATATTCGTTTCATAAATTTTTAATAAATTACAAGCCATAGAAAAATATTATATTCTTGAGGAATAAAATTATATTACAATTTATATTGCGTTATGGTTGCACTTGATACGATTTGAAAATGAAATACATTTCTTATGAAAATTATTACTAATTATTATTAAATTATTATTAATTGAAAATTAAATAATATTAATTTTTACCAAATTTTTTTTTTTTGCCAGTAATTATATTTTTAATAATGTAATTATTATTTTAATAATATATTTAATAATAATGTAAATAATTTTTTTATTGAAAAAATTTGTAATTTTTTGTTTTTTCTGTTGCAGGTAAAATATATTTCTCGGTGGATGTCCCTAATATAGTTCAAGTAAGATAATATGATTTTAAAATAGAAATAAAAATTTTAAAATAAAAAACTAATAGTAAAAATAATTATAAATAAAAAAACTGAATAAAATAACTAAAAAACTAAAAACTGATAATAAAATAACTAAAAAAAAAATTTTTACATAAATAAATAAATAATAATAAAAAGTTCCAGAGGAACGTAAAAATTATTATTTATTTTTTATTTTTATTCAAACTAAATAAAATTGAATCGAATAAATATTAACGTAGCTTCAAAAAAATAAATTTTTTTTAATGTGTAATTAAAAAAAATTTTGTGAAAAAGAATTTCTTTTTTTTATAAAGCACTTGTTAGGTTATACACTGAATAACTCGATTTCAAGACCTGAAAAGTGAATTTTTATTTTATTATTTATTTATTAAAAAAAAAAATATTTATTTTCAAAATAGACCAAAATATATATTTTATTATAAAAAAACAATAATTTTTTAAAATCATATTTAAAAAATTTTTATTTTATTCTTTATTTATTGAAAAAAAAATTTTTATTATAAAAGAACAATAATTTTTTTTAGTCATATTAATAAAAGATTTATAAAAATAATTTAAAAATACCAACTTTAACAAATGTAGCTAATGACATTTCAATAACAAAAGAACCAGTCATTTTTATTGGTTTAGTACCACGTATCATTATAATTGTAAGATCTTTTTTTGTTTTATTTGACAAATTAATCCAATCGATATGCCAAATTTTATGTGAAATTGCAATACTCTGTGTTAATTAAAATTATTTTTAAACATATATTTATTTTTTCAAAATTAATTTTCTGTTTTTAATTTTATTCAAATTAAATTTATTAATTAATTTTTATATTTATTAAATTCTTCTAATTTTTATTTCAAATTATTATTATTTTTTTTTTAATTTAAAATAAAAAATATTTTTTTTTGCAAAGAATTTTGGTTACTTTTGAAACTTTATTAATTTATACAAGTTTATATAAAAAAATGTATTTTTTTTTTAAATATTTAAAATTACAAACCCCTTCAATTAATTTCTGTCCATGAAAGCTATAAAGAAAAATTTGAAATAACATCGAACTGAGATAAATCAAAAATAACCAACTTGTTTGATTATTCATATCTATTTGAGAAACTTGATAAATTATTGCAAAAATTCCAGCCATTGATGCAAAAAACTGAATAAAAATAACAAAACCAAACAATTGATTAAGTTTCTGACCGAGTCTGCAAAAAAAAATTTTTTTTGTAATTTTTCTAAAAAAATTTTACAAAAATCTTTCTTTCATAATTTTTGAAGTAGAAAAATTTTTAATTATTTTTTTCATAAATTTTAATCAGTTATAATATATTTTTTTTATATTTTTTTTTTTCTTCAAAACTCACTGATATATATAATTATGATGTATAACACAATCTTTAATTATTTTCGATTCATGTTGTGGTAAATTTTTTTCAAAAGCAACATTCAATAATGATAAACGATGTATTATAATATCTAATTGACCACCAATTTGAACAATAATTAACATAACAAAACATTCAATTGATGCTGTTGACATTGCAGTCATCCAAACAGTATATGTTTGATATAAATATGTGAAAATAAATAGAAATTTCGAATTATGAACATTATAGGGAAGTGTTACATCAAATATAAGTGAAAAATTTCCTTCTTTTTTGATAGATGAAAAAAATAATAATGAAGTAGTGGAAGCCATCATTATATGAAAAATAATGCTATTTATCCTATATTTAGAAAAATATTCAATTTTTTTTTTATTATTATTTAACAAAAATATAAAAATATTTTTTAGAAGGAAAAAAAATTTTACTTTTGTTTGAAAAAAGTATATTATAAATTTAATAATAATAATAATTTTTATTTTTGTTATTATTATTATTATTATTATTATATAAATTAAAAAATTAAATTTAAAATTATATTTTTGATTTATATAAAAAATAATATTACCTGCATTTTCGTGAAATTTCTTTTAATATTTGCAATTCATAAAAATCTTTTGGTTGACAATGTTTATTTTTAAAAATTTCATGTAATTCGACGACATATTTATTTTTAACAACAAAACTTATTATTTTTATAAAAACAGCGAACACACCAGAAAAATAAAAAAGTGTTTGTGTAAATTTATCCGCACTTTTAGTCACATGAAATAAATGTACAAATAATGTAAATGTAAAACTAAAATGAATTGTTACATTAAAAATAGTATAAATATTATAGAGAGTAATTTTCCATTTTTTATTATTAGCATTAGTCCATAGGCCAAAAATATGAAATATTTTAAATAAAAATTCACCAGTGAACATTTCCCTTTAGCAAAATTTCACGTTATAAAAAAAATAATTAATTTTAGGTTTTTATTATTTTGTTTTTTAATTATTATTAGTTTAATTAGTATTAGTTAATTAATATTAATTAATAAAAAAAAATTAATTCATGTATTTAGTTTTTGTAGAAGAATGAGAATATCATTTTGTGTGATCCATATAACTATCTTTTCTTTCAATTTGTATTTTCTTCCCTCTTTAATGGAATTATTTATAAAATAATTCATTTTACGTTTATAACTGTTTTACTTATAAAGTATTCGTATTTTCAAAGGGGTGAGATATTGACGAGGCACGCTATTAATTATTTATTACCATATTTTATATTCGATGACAATTTTCCCTTTTATTTCATTTCTATATAGATAAGGAAATTATAAAATCGAGAAAATAGAAATTGAGAAATAATAATTTGCACAAATAGTTTTTGTGTCTCAAATGCATAGCGTTTACTTTCATGACAATACAGTTGAACCTCGATAGTGAGACTTTTTTTTTGAGACCTCTATATAATGTCATTTTTCGTATTTGAAAATTTTCTAAAAAAAAAACTAGTGTAAAAAAAAATTTAAAAAACCTCTAAAAAAGAGAGAGAAATTTTTAGTAAGTGAGAAAATTTTTTTTTATTCAAGTTCGACTGTATGTTGATTTTTTGAAAGTGAAGTACTTATTTTTTTTTCCACAGTTTATTAGGAAATTAATGATAATTTTTTTTTTATAGAAAATATGTAAAGTTTATAATTAAAAAAGAATTAAATATTTTATTATCATACATTTATTTGAATAAATAAATTAATAATTTATTTTAAATCGATAAAATTTTCTTGTACGCAAAATAAAATTCAAAATTAAAAATTTTTTTTTTTATAAATTTTACGTATAGGTAAAAATTAATTATTTTTTCATTAATTATATAAATTAATTTGTTTCTTAATTTTTTAAAAATTAATTTGTTTATTAATTTTTTTAAAATTAATTTGTTTATTAATTTTTTTAAAATTAATTTGTTTATTAATTTTTTTAAAATTAATTTTAATTTTCCTTTTTCTTTAAAGTCCTTTTTTTACGTACTTGACACTTTTTAAAAACCTTTCAGTAAATTGTATGCAGAATATGCCGATTTCACTATCTAAAATATAAAATTTTATAATTTTATTTTTCAAAAAATATAAAATTAAATTCAGAAAAAAAATTAAAATTTAATTTTATTCAGAAAAAAAAAATTAAAAATACAATTTTATTCAGAAAAAAAAATTAAAAAGACAATTTTCTAAAAAAAAAATTTTTTTTTAAATTTATTTAGATAAATTAAAAAATACAAACCTGTACAAATGTATCTATTGACATAACAATCAATTTATACCCCATAAATGTCATAGGCTTTGAAGCACGAATCATTATTGTAATCAAATTTTTTTTTGTTCTATTTGTTGTGGAAAACCATTGAATTGCATAAATTCCTTGCATAAATTCTAAACTCTATTTTAACAATAAAATTAATGTTTTTATATCATTAAATTAATAAAAAAAAATATATTTTATTTTATTTTTATTTATTTTTAAATAAATAAATAAATAAATTTTTAATAAAAATATATTTTCAATATCATAATATTCTTTTCAATTTGATGCAACTTTTTTTTTTAAAAAAAAAAAAGTTTTTTCTTTTATTTTCTTTTTTAGGTCATTTCAAATTGAAAAGAATTTAAATATATAAAAAATAATATAAAAAATTAAATTAATTAATTAATAAAGGATAAAAAAATTACCTTTGATCTAATTTGCTCACCAAAATAACTGTAGAGGAAAATTTGCAATAAAGTCGATATTAATAGAAATACCAATGCCCAGTACTTTGGATTGTTTAAGGAGAATTTTGTCAATTGATATGTGATGGGACATAAACTTATCATTGATGAAAAAAATTGAACAAAAATCATTGATCCAAATAATTTATTTAAATTGTCTCCTATTCTAAAAAGTTCAAAAAAAATTTTTTATTCTAAATCTAAAATTAGCAAAAAATAATAATAATTTTAAAAAAGTAATAATTAAAATGATAATTAATAATAATTTTTTACATTAAAATTTAACTAATAAAAAAGCAAAGAGTCACTAATTTTGATATACAAAAAATAAATAAATTTTTTTTTCTATAATTTTTTTAAATTTTTTTTTTTTTAAACTCACGAATAAATGTGAATGTGAAGTTTAACAACATCCCTAATAACATTTGATTCATATTGATGATTTGATGATTTTTGATAATTTATTTTCGAAATTTGTGAAAGTAAATTTATTCGATGAATAAGAATTTCATATTGTGCACAAATTTGTAAAATAATAACTAAAGCTAATGTTTCAACAGAACTTGTTACACAAGCCGATAATGCAGCAGCCGTTCCTTCATGTAGATAAGATAAAATAAAAAATGGTCTATAATTTAAATTATATGGTGTCCAAATTTTAAATGGTAATGGAAATTCACTTTTTTTCGAAGGTGGAAATACAAAAACCGATAGAGCGGAAATATTCATTAAAATTGTATAAACAATTGTGTAAAATCTATTTTTTTAAATAAAAATTAATTATTATTATTATTTAAATAAAAAATAAAAAATTATTTAAATAAAATTATTATTTATATATAAAATTAATTATAATTATAATAATTAATTTTAAAATAATTTACCTACAAGAATTAGAAGTTCGTTGTAATATTTGATATTCAAAATCATCACGTGGTTGACATAATTTATTCATAAATAATTTTTTTGATTCAATAACAGTTGTACGTTGTAAAAAAATGGAAATCATTTTATAAAAAATATTTGATAATGCAAGAAAATAAAAAAATGTTTCCATTTCTCGTTCAATATTTTGTGCATTATATAAAATGTAAATTAATATAAAAATAATGAAAATAAATACAATTGTTATTAAAATAATAGAATATAAATTATAGATATAAATTTTATATTTTGATTTCCAATTTATTGGTCTATAAATTCCAATTAATTTAAATAAAAAAAATGATATTTGACCAATGTATAATTTATTTTTATCGTAAATAAATTTATTCTGAAAAGAATTAAAAAATTAATTTTTTTTTTTAATATCCCGTGTGGAAAAAGCCACGATCTTGCCCTCAAGAGTTCGGGGCCCCCGGCGGGGGCCCATGAGGGCTGATCCATATGGCGAATCCATGAGGGGCACCGTAGGGGCCCCGCATGGATCGCCCTCATGATCGATTAGCAAAATTTTCTAAGTCCAAAAATCAAATATTTTTTTATCACCAAAAAATTAATGTTTATAATGATTCACAACAATGAAAAACGCGTTTTTAATTAAAATATATTTTCACTTTTTTTGAAAATAACACTCACACTTATGGCGAATCCATGAGGGGCACCGTAGGGGCCCCGCATGGATCGCCCTCATGATCGATTAGCAAAATTTTCTAAGTCCAAAAATCAAATATTTTTTTATCACCAAAAAATTAATGTTTATAATGATTCAGAACCACGAAAAACGCGTTTTTAATAAAAATATATTTACACTTTTTTGAAAATAACACTCACACTTATGGCAAAATAGATGAGGGCCACCGTAGGGGCCCGCATGGATCGCCCTCATGATCGATTAGCAAAATTTTCTAAGTCCAAAAATCAAATATTTTTTTATCAACAAAAAATGAATGTTTCCAATGATTTAAAACAACGAAAAACGCGTTTTTAATAAAAATATATTTACACTTTTTTGAAAATTCGCCTGAGATGATTCATGATAATAATCATAAAGCATATAATTAATTATATTTTATAAATTGCATTTGATTGGAAAATATAATTTAATATCTTAACTTTAACTAAATGATGTTAAGCACTTTTCTTTGTTAGGTATTTTTGAAGTTTAAATAGCATCAAGAAGTTAGCATTCGTTTTGAAGTAGCGTACGTAGCGTAGTTGGTAAAGCGTTAGGTTCATAGTCCGTAGGTCGTAGGTTCGATTCCCCCCATGCGTTAGATTTATTTATTTCTCAAGTTTGCGTTTAATCATTAATTCTATGTATGAATTAATTGAAAAATGAAAATATCCGTTAATAGTATGCATAAATTAAATATTTTTTAATTTTTTAATTAATTAATTTATTATTACTTTTAATTATATCCGACAGTTAATTAATTAGAACGTTAATTAATAAATTGAATTTGAGTAAGAATTTAATTTAAAATTGAATAATTATTAAATAAATATGTTATTTATTCATAACTTAAGCTTATTTATTATTAATTAACTTTTATTATTAATATTATTGATTAAAAAACATTATGGCAAACTTGAGGGCAAGATGAGGGCAAACGTGAGGGCCCATAAGGGCGCCCGTAGGGGCACCCTCATGGATCGCCCATGCGGGCGCCCTCATCGATGAGCATGTCGTTTCCATGAGGGGCCCCTATGGATCATCCATATGCGGCCCTCATGGCATGAGGGCGATCCATAAGGGCCCCCGCTGGGGGCCCACATCACTTTTCCACACGGGATAATTAAAATAAAAAAAAAATAATTTGTTACTAACTTGGGAATGAGACATAACAAAATTGAGAATCTGTCTTTTCTTTCTTATAGTTTATAAGTTAATGATTTTCTTATCTTACCTTGAATAAGAATTTCACTCTCCCCATAATAAGAATTCCATTTTTTATATTATTTATTGATTTCACGATAAAATGTGAAATATTATATTGTGAGTAACAAGTTGTTGAATAATTTCCCAAGCAGTAATTTGCATAGAAAATTATATATTAAACGACAATATTTCTCTCATTATTCATATAAATTTTTGATAAAGATTCAACGAAAGGGTTGAAAATGAATTTAGTAGTCAGAAATAAAAAAATAATTTTACACTTATAGAAATTTCTAAATGACATCCACTATTATTACAATAATATTTTTATTTAAAATTTACAAAGTACAAATATGAAAAAAAAAATTTATCATTAAATAAAAATTATAATTAATGAATTCCAAATTTTGGAAAAAAAAATGTGAGTATATTTAATTTTTTCTGTGTTTTTTTTTTTAGACACGTTTAAGCAAACTGTAGGCTGAATATGCGGATTTAACTATCTGAAAATTAAAAAGTAATATTAAAAAAATTTTTAATTATATTTATTTCAGTAAAAATAAAAAAAATTTTTTTTTATTGACTTAAAAAAATTTTTAAAAATTCTATTTTTATTACCTGTACAAATGTGTCTGTTGACATTATAACAATTTTAAAGCCCATAAATGTTACGGGCCTCGATGCCCGTGTCATTATCAATATCAAATCTCTTTTTGTTTTATTTGTTATGCATAACCATTTCATATCGTAAACATTTTTCATAAGTGCAACGCTCTTTTATTTATAAATAATAAATAATTTTAATTAATATTAGAAAAAATTGAGACATTTTTTTATTCCAAACTAAATATAAATTTATTTGAATTAAAAAAAAAAAATTTTTTTGAAAATAAAAAATAATTATTTTGTAAAAAAAAAATAATATTTATATAACCATTTTTTTAAAATTAATTAATTTAAAAAAATTTTGTTTGTTATGAATAAAACTTTTTATTTGTAATTAAAGTTTTATTTTTGTAAAAAATTAAATTTTTATTTAAAAAAAAAATATAAAAAGTATAATTTTTTTTTTGCTCTGAGATTATATTTTTTTATCTCATAAAAAAATAAAAAATTACCTTTGCCATAATTTTATCACCGAAATAACTATAAATATAAATTTGTAATAAAGTAGATATTAATAGAAAGAATAAAATCCAACTTTTTGGATCGGTTGTGGATAATTTTGTTAATTGATAAGTAATTGGACATAAACTCATTGATGATGAGAAAAATTGAAAAAATATCATTGAACCATATAATTTATTTAAAGTATCTCCGATTCTGTAAAGAAAAAAAATTCACAACAATTAGAATAGAAATTTAAAAATATAATAATAATAATAATAATAATAATAATAATAATAATAATAATAATAATAATAATAATAATAATAAATAATAATAAAGATTTTTTTGGAAAAAAATTTTTTTTTGTTCTTACGAAAAAATATGAATGTGAAGCATTACAGAATCTTTAAGAATTTTCGATTCACATTGATAATGAGGATAATAATTATTTTTTGTCGATAATTCTGAAAGTAAATTTAATCGATGATTGAGAATTTCATATTGGGCACAAATTTGTATAATTATTACAAATGCTAAACTTTCAACAGCTGAAGTTGCGCAAGCTGCCAATAATGCAGAAATTCCTTGATGTATGTAAGTTAAGAAAAATAATTTTCTTAAATTAAGACTATATGGCGTCCAAACTTTAAGTGGTAATGTTAAATCACCACTTTTTGTTGGTGGAAATAATAAAACTGACAATGCAGTACAATTCATTAAAATTAAGTAGACAATTGTATATAATCTATAATATTTTATAAAAAAAAATTTTTATTAATTTTTTAATTCCTTTTATATTTTTTAAATTATAATTAAAAAAAAATTATTTTTTTACGTATATTTTCAAGGTAGAAAAAAATTATCATAAATTTTTGTTTTATTTTTTTTTTATTTACCTACAAGAAATTGATGTTCGTTGTAAAATATCTAATTCAAAATTATCTCTTGGTTGACATAATTTATTCATAAATAATTTTTGTGTCTCAATAACTGTTTTACGTTTAATGAGAATAATAATCATTTTAAATAAAACAGTGAAAAGTGCAAGAAAATAATAGAATGTCTCCATTTCATTGTCAATATTATGGAAATTTTGTAAAATATAAATTAATATTGAAATCAAAAACAAAATATAAATTATTATAATAAATGTTGTATATGAATTGTAGAAAAAAATTTTTAAATTTGAATTCCAATTAAATGGTTTACAAATTCCTATTAATTCAAATAGAAAAAATGAAATTTGTCCATAATAAAATTTACAATCTGTAAATTCATTTTTTATTTTTGCATTCTGAAAGCCCCCCCCCAAACACAAATATTAATAATAATTTTTACCAAAATTGCAAAATACAAATTTTGTTATAGCAAAATAAAAAAAAAAAAAAAATGAAAAAATAAATTCAAAATTTTTGTTTGTTAAAAAATTAAAACAGTACTAACTCTTTTATTTGAACGTGACATAATTCAGGGTGACCACACTCACCGGGAAAATTAGAAATTAGCTTGGGATTTTCATTTTAAAAAAAAACTGAATTGAATTAAAAATTAATTTTTATTTTTTTTTATATTTACATTAATGGATTTTTAAATTAAATTTAGATTTTTCAAAGTAAAATAAATGTTAAAGAGATTTTGAAATTATTTTTATACCTGCGTAGATGTATGTTTACATTGAAGTACAAAAGGTGTACCCTAGAGGCCGAAGGTCACAAATAATTTTAATTGAAAATTACAAAAATAATTCAAAAATCAGTTGCAATTCGTGTCTTGATCTGTTTAGCCACGTGTTCAACGGGAGTGAAAAATTTTGTAATTTTTAAAAAAGTGTTCAATTTTTTTTTTTTAATGTAATTTTAGTAATTTTTTTAAAATGTAATTTTAGTATTTTTTTAAATGTAATTTTTTCTTCCTTTTCGGAGTGTTCGAAATTTTTTTTAAATCGCGATCGCCTAAATTTTTAGAAAAAGTATTTTATTTTTTAAAAATGTCGAGTGTTCGAAATTATTTTTTAAAACCGCGCATGTGTGTGTTTCCATCAAATCATATCATCAAAAATATTCATCGATTGCAAACTAAGGTTAGATATTTTTTTTATTTATTATTTTTTATTTATTTCCCATTTAAAAAATTGTTTTATTTTTTTTTGCAAAAAGGTTTTTTTATGAAATGATTTTTTCAAAATATTAATTACGTTTTTTAGAGTATTTTTATATATATATATATATAATTATTTAATAAATTAGTTTTTTTATTTTTATAGTTACAGTTAAATATATTATTTAAAAAAAAAAAAATATTTTTTATATTTTTTTTTTTTGAAAATTTTTTTAGTGATCACCCTGAAAACTGATTACAATATTATAGTTGAAGAGAACGAATTCATATTGAATGTATATAATTTTCTAGACTTTCTATTTTCTTTATACCATATAATCGTTATTATCATTTTTCTCTTGAATAATAAGTTTATCAATAATTTCTATCTCTCCTCCCATAATATAACGTTATGCTTTCTATAAATTATATTGATATCGGTGACATATGTGAAATATCGTTGAATTATTTCACATCGTCATTTGCATAGTAAATTACATACTAAACGATAATATTAATTTTTGATAAATATGCAACAAATTGTTGAAAAATTTTTGCATTTGTCTTGGAACTTTTGTAATGTGTACTACTTGTTACTAAATACTGTTTTTTAAAATTAAATTTCTTAAATTCCAAAATATGTATATAAAAAAAAATAATTTTTATAATAATTAATTTTTAATTAATTTAATTATAAAAAAAATTGTAACTATATTTTTTTTGCTGCGATATTTTTCACTTTCAAAATGCGAAATAATACAATTATTATTTAATAGTAATTGTAATATGTATATGAAAATAATATTCGATGATTCCTCTTGCAATTAATTAAAATACTAATTTTTTCACTTGATTAATTGTTTAGACACCTTTAAGCAAATTATAGGCACCATAAGCAGATTTTACTATCTAAAAGTTATAAAATTTAATATTTTTTTTATTTTTAAGAAAATTAATTAAATTTCATTTATTTGTTAGGATTATTTTATTATTTTTTTTATTTTCTTATTATTTCTTTTTTATTTTCTTATTATTTTTTATTATTCTTTTAATAACAAATTAATGAATTTTAATTTAATTAATTTAAATAAATTAATTAATTAATTTAATTTATTTAATTTTAATTTTAATAAATTTTCTTTTTCTAATATGTAAAAAAATAATTGCAATCTAAATTATTAAAAAGGAAAAAAAAATACAGATTAAATTTATTGTAAAAAAAAAAATACAAACTTGAAAAAATGTTTGATATGACATAACGACCATTTTTAAACCCATAAATTTTATTGGCCTAGATGCACGAGTCATAATGAATATTAAATCTTTTCCTGTTTTATTTGTAATTGTCAACCATTTTATTTCATAAATTTTTTCTATAATTTCTAAACTCTATAATGTAGAAATTTTTATAATATTCTATTTAGTTTTTTTTTTTTTTTTTTTCTTTTCTTCCTGCAAATAATATAAAAATATATGCTAATTATAAAGAAGAAGTAATTACCTTTGTTCTTATTTTTTCACCAAAAAATGAGTAGAAAAAAATTTGTATCAATGAATTGAAAAATACAGAAAATAAACCATAACTTTGTGAATCTAATGATGATAATTTTGATAATTGAAAAATAGTCGCACCCAACATACTCATTGATGCTAAAAATTGGGCAAAAACGATAAAACTAAATAATTCGTTTAATTTTGTTCCAATTCTGAAAAAAGTGGTTTTTTTTGTCCTATTAATTATTTTTTTTTATTCAAAAAAAAAAAAAAGGAAAATAATTTTAACATTATTTATTTTTGTAATTTTTAATTAATTTTTATTTTAAATTAATACAAATATAAACTTACTCAAAAATATGAATGTGATGTTTAACGCAATCTTTGACAATTTTATATTCATTTTGATAAGTTGAAATTTGTTGAGAATTTTTTTTTGCTTGTTGAGATAGAAAATTCAGTCGATATATGAAAATATCATATTGTGCGCAAATTTGTAATATTATAACTAACGCTAAACTTTCTACTGAGCACGTGACACAAATTCCAATTTGTAATCCTAATCCTTCAAATAAACTTGTCAATAAATATAATGATTTTGAATTAAGACCATAGGGTGTCCAAATATTAAATGGTAATTGAACATTATTTTTTGTCGATGGTGAAAACATGAAAAATGTCATACCACAAAGATTTGTCACAGTTAAATAAATAAGTGTACATAATCTGAAAAAAAAACAATAATTATATTAAATTTTTAAAATAAATATATATAAATAAATAAATTATTTTAAATAAATAAACAAATAATTTTAAATTAATATATTAATTAATTAATTAAATATATTTAAAATAAAATATATTAAATATATTTAATTAAATAAAAATAATAAAAAATAAAATAAAAGCGTCATTAAATATATTTTAATTTAATTTTTTTTTTTTTTAATTAAAAAAATTGACCTAGAATAATGCGAAGACTGTTGTATTATTTCAGACTCATATTTATCACGTGGTTGACAATGTTTATTTGTAAAAAGATTAATTAATTGAATTGTTGTTTTATTTTGTAGGAAAATACAAATCATTTTTATAAATGAATTACAAAGTGCAAGAAATTGAAATGTTGTTTCTATTCTTGTATCTGCATCTTGAGCGCTGTATAAAATAAAAATGAGCATTGACGAGATAAAAAGAAAAAGAATTGTTATTGTACATAGTGAATATAATTGATATAGACAAATTTTCAATTTTGAATTCCAAGATAATGGTTTAACAATTCCAGTTATGTGAAACAATAGTAATGAAATTTGTCCCAAGTATATATTTTGATTATTATTATTATCATTTGTTAAAAATTTTTGTAAATTATTTAATTCCTGAAAGAAAGAATAATTTTATTATTTCATAAAGAATTTTTTTATTAATTATTTTTCATTAATTTTTTTTTATTAATTTTTTTCATTAATTTCCTTTTTATTAATTTTTTTAATTAATTTTTTGTATTAATTTGTAAAATTTATTTTTTCTATTAATTTTTTAAATTTATTTTTTGAATTAATTTTTTGTATAATTTTTTTGTATTAATTTTTTGTATTAATTTTTTGTATTAATTTTTTTTTATTATTTTTTTTCAATGAATAATTTTATTTTTATAATTAAAAATGGATTTTTATTAATTATTAATTTGACACTCACTTGGTTAGTAAAACGTGACATAATTGATATTTTTTTTTTCTACTGAAAATTGAATTATTATAAACGTGAAAAAAAAATTAGACTATACGACCATTCTCTTTTCGTTATAAATTGTTAGTAAAGACAAGACGAATTTTATTATCATAAAAGGGTAGAAAATGTAATTTAAATTTATTTCACCTTCTTTTTAACTTCATTAATAATTTCAATTTCGCTCCCCATAATAATAATAATAATATTTCTTGGTTTTCTATAAGATATCGTGAGAAATATGTAGAGAATCGAATTATTGAATAATTTCTATCGTCATTTGCATGAAAAATAAGACAATTCTCCTGTTTTAAATGTAAATTTTTAATAAAGAAGCCACAGGTATTATTGTCATTATATCAAGACAAGAGGATAAATTGCACATTCAATTTGTAACTTTAAAACTATCAGAGTTATATTATAAAATTAGTGGCAAATACTTGTCAAGTAGTGCAAAAAAAAATATTTTTCTAATTTGAAAATTTTTTTTTCTGCTGGTATGAAAATTAAAAGAATTTGTTTTTTTTTCACTTAAATTGACAAAAAATTGAAATATTTTGTCTGACTGAAATTGACTTATACTACTGAAAGTGAAATAATAATAAAAAAAAATTAAAGTAAAAAAAATAGTAAATAAATAAAAAAAAGTATTATATAAATAAAATAGAAAGTAAAAAATAGTAAAAAAAAAATAAAACAATAAATAAAAAAAACGCAGTAAATAAAAAATAGTGAATAAAAAATAGTAAATAAAATAAAATACTAGATAAATAATAATAATTTTGTAAATTATTTTTTAATTATAAAAATTATTACAAATATACATGCCAAAGTAATTTAAAATAAAAATATCATTTTTTGAAGAAAACGAAAATATTTATTGTATAAAATATTGTGAATACAATTTTATATGATTTTATATATAAAAAAAGATATATAAATATGATATACTATATATATAATTTGCTATTATAATGACTGACATTGTTTAGAAACCTTTTAGCAAATTGTAAGCAGAAAATGCCATTTTTACACTCTAGAAAATATATATTATTATTTTATTATATTAATAATATTATTATTAAATAATAATAGAAATAATAATAATAACATTAATAATTAGTTCATATTATAATTATTAATATTATTAATTTATTTTTTTTTAATTATTTTTTTTTTTGATAAATTAATTTATTATTATAAAATTAAAAATAATATACAAACTTGAACAAATGTATCTATTGACATAATGACCATTTTGAATCCCATAAATTTTACAGGTCTTGATGCACGAATCATAATAACAATTAAATCTCTTTTTGTTCGATTTGTAATCATTGACCATTTTATCTCGTAAATTTTTTCCATAATTGCCAAACTCTATTTTTTATTTAGAAAATAAATTAAAAAATTTTTTTTCTATACTTATTTATCTATTTATAATTTATTAATTTATACAATTAAATGAAATTATATATAGTATTGGAAAAAATTGAAATTATTATTTTTTAAGGTAAAAAATTTTGAGTAAATAAAAATTATATTTACCTTTGTCATAATTGTTTCGCCAACTGAACAATAGAGAAATATTTGCATTAAAGAACTTAATAATACTGATATTAAACCCCAACTTTTTGAATCAAATGAAGACAATTTTGACAATTGAAATGTAACAGTACAAAGTGTTGTCATTGATGCAAAATATTGTGCAAAAATCACAAAACTAAATAATTCATTTAATTTTTCTGCAATTCTGAAAAAATTTAGAATTTTTTTTTATTTCATTCAATTTTTAAAATTTGTATAAATTTTTTTTTTACAATTTTGATGCTAAATAGAAAATTATATAAATATTTTATAAATAAAATTATAAAATATTAACTATAAATAAAATTATAATATATTAAATAAAATAATAAATTTTTTGTATTATTATAGTTTTTTTGTAAATATAGAAAAAATATAATTTTTTTATAAATTGAAATAGAATTTTTAATAAAACTTACGAAAAAATATGAATATGATGATTGACGCAGTCTTTTAAAATTTTCGATTCCATTTGATATGTTAATAATTTTGAATAATTTTTTTTAGATAATTCGGGCAATAAATTTAAACGATAAATTAACATTTCATATTGGGCACAAATTTGTAGAATTATTACTAATGCCAATGTTTCAACTGAACTTGTTACACAAACTGCCAATATTGTCGATAGACCTTGATGAATGTATGTTAAAAAATACAATGCCCTTGAATTCAAACTATATGGAATCCAAACTTTAAATGGTAATTTAAAATTATTTTTCTTTGACGGTGAAAATATAAAAAATGACATTGCAGAAAGATTAGTCAATGTTAAATAAATAATCGTATATAATCTGTAATATAAAAAAAAAATGGGCAAAAAATAAATTAGAACAACTTTTTTTTTAAATTAAAAAAAAATTAATTAGAAGTAAATTAGAAAAAAAGAATTTTTTTTTTTTTTTCATTTACCTACAATAATGCGAAGACTGTTGTAAAATTTCATTTTCAAATTTATCACGCGGTTGACAAAGTTGATTCATAAATAAATTAATTGATTCAATGGCAGTTTTAGTTTGTATTAAAATAGAAATCATTTTAAAGAATACATTAAAAAGTGCAAGAAATTGAAATGTTGTTTCAATTTTTGTTTCGGCATTTTGTGCAATTCGTAAAATATAAATTAATATTGAAAAAACAAAAATAAAATAAATTGTTATCATTATTATTGAATAGATATTGTAAAGCCAAATTTTCCATTTTGAACTCCATGTGATTGGTTTAAAAATTCCAATTAAATGAAATAAAAAAAATGATATTTGTCCTGTGTAAATTTTTTCTTTTTTTTCTATCGACATTTTTTGTAAATTATTCATTATATTTTATGTCTGAAAGTTAATTTTTCATTTTTAATAATTATAATATTTAAAATATTAAAAATATTAAAAATATTTAATTAAAATATTTAATTATAAAATTATTTTATATTCCATATGACATTTTCTTACAGGTATTTTTTTTTTTTTTTATTCAGTAAAACTAGTTTCCATTTAATACGAACTTTATTTTCCCATTACATTGAGGTTTGATTAAAAAAAATTTTGTTATCACGACAGATAGTTATTATTGAGTGAAAGGAGTTTTCAGTTTATTGATATCGTATTGAGGCAGTTGGAGTATAAAGGGTTTCTTGAATAATTTCTATCTTCATTTGCATAGAAAATTAAGTTAAACGACAATTCTCCTTTTTCGTTATAAATTTTTAATATACATAAATGTAAAATTTAATTCTTCCCTTTTCATAATATCAATTTTCTGTTGAAACATTATTATCAAGGGATAGATATAAAATTTATTTTCATTTGATAAAACTTGAAAGGAATTTCTTGTCGCACTTTGTTTTTTTTACATCTGAAGATAATTTTCCTTTCAATATTGTTTTATAATTTTAAAATTTTGTCAGTAAAAAAAATATAATTTTTCCAGAGCTAAATAAGTATATTTATTTTGTTTCAAATAAAAAAATTTTGTTTAAGACAAATAAAATTTTTATTTGAAGGAAATAAAAATTATTTAAACTAAAAATTTATTTCAACTAAAAATATATTTGGACTAAAAATTTAGTTGAACTAAAAATTTATTTCAACTAAAAATATATTCGGGCTAAAAATTTAGTTGAACTAAAAATTTATTTCAACTAAAAATATATTTGGACTAAAAATTTAGTTGAACTAAAAATTTATTTGAACTAAATAAAATTTTTTTTAGGCTCTAAAATAAATATATATTTTTTCTCTTGGTTGCATTAGATATTAATACAATAAAAAAATAAATAAATATATAAGATTTGTTTTATTGGAAAAATTACTAATTCATCTTTTTTTTTATCTGTTGCAGGTAAATTTTAAAAACAATTCCATATTGGCGGCTATGCGATTAAATAATTCGATTAAAAAAATATGATATAAATAATTATAATCTACTTATCAAATATTAAAGAGTTCCACAGAGACGTAAGGATTATTTTCATTTGTTTATTATTTAAAAATATTTTTTCCTTCTTTTTTTTTCATAAACCTTTCAATAAATTATAAGCAGAATAAGCAGATTTAACAACCTAAAAATGAAAATTTTTATTTATATTATTTATAATTAATTAATATTATATAATTTAATTTATAATATTAATATTGAATTATATTCATTAATAATAATTTAATAATTAATTATTATAATTAAAAAAAATAATATTTGATTTTTTTTAAATATAATTATATAAAAAAAATTTTTTTTGCTCAAAAAATACAAACTTGAACAAATGTTTGTATTGACATTATAATCATTTTAAATCCCAAAAATTTAATTGGTCTTGAAGCTCTTATCATAATTAATGTTAAATCTTTTTTTGTTCTATTTGTAATTGTTGACCAATTTATTTCATAGATCCTTTCAATTATTGAATAGCTCTATTTAAAAAAAAAATATATAATTTTCAATTAATTATTTTCCATTAAATTGGTGTATAATATAATAAATATTTTTGTATTTTTTTTTTCTCTACGTCAATAATAGTGATTTATTATAATACCTTTGTTGTAATTTGTTCTCCAATTATACAATATAAAAATATTTGCAACAAAGAATAACAAAATACAACTAATTGTAAACTCCATGTTTTTGGTTCATTTAAAATTAATTTTGATAATTGAAATATAACTGCACAAATTCCAATCATTGATGAAAAAAATTGTGTAAAAACAACTGAACTAAATAATTCATTTAATTTATCTCCAATTCTATATTTTGAAACAATAATTACATAATTTATAATAAAAAAAATAATTAATAATTAATTATTTAAATTAATAATTTTTAATTTTATTAAAAATTTTTTTTTATTTAAAAAAATATTTTTTACGTTTTTCAAAAGCAAAAATAAAAATTAATAAAAATTATTATTTATTAATAAATATTTAATTAATAAAATTAAAGTAAACTTACAAAAAAATGTGAATATGTTGCTTAACACATTCTTTTATTATTTTTGATTCACATTGATAGGTAATTGATTTTGAATAATTTTTTATAGACAATTTTGGAAGTAATTTTAATCGATGAATGAGAATTTCATATTGTGTACAAAGTTGCAATATAATTGTCAATGCTAAACTTTCAACGGCAGCCGTTATACAAACTGCCAATATCGTCGATAATGCTTGATGATTGAATGTTAAAAAATACAAAAATCTTGAATTTAAATTATATGGAATCCAAACTTTAAATGGTAATTGAAAATTATTTTTCTTTGATGGTGAAAATATAAAAAATGACATTGCAGAAATATTCGTTAAAGTCAAATATATAATTGTATATAATCTGTAAATTTAAAATAAATAAAATTATATTTTTCTTTGATCTAAATGTTCAAATAAAAATTTTATTTATTTTTAATTTTTATTTTAAAAAAAAATAAAAATATTTTATTAAATAATAAAATTTATTGAAAAAATTAATTTTTTACTTGCAAAAATATGAAGTACTTTGTATTATTTTTGATTCAAAATCATCTTTTGGCTGACATAGATTATTCATAAAAAGTTTATTTGAATGATGAACATTTTTATGATGAATTAAAATAGTAATCATTTTTGATAAGACAGTGAAAAATGCAAGAAAATAAAAAAATGTTTCCATTTCATTTTGTATGTCTTGTGAATTTTTTAGAATATTTATTAATATTGAAAAAACAAATATAAAATATATTGTTATCATAAATGTTGAATATAAATAATAGAGCCAAATTTTAAATTTTGATATCCAATTAATTGGCATAAAAAATCCAAAATATTGAAGTAAAATAAGTGAAATTTGTCCAATATATATTTTATTATTTTTTTCAATAAAATTTGGCAAGATGTTCATTTTTTCTGAAAAAAAAAATAATTTTTATATAGAAAATAAAAGAAAAATTTACCGTAAAATTGAAAATAAATAAATAAAAATAGAAAAATTAAAAATATATAATTTTTATAAAATTAAAAAAAAAGAAAATAACAAATTTACTCGTTATTAGTTGTGTTGAAATTTTATAAAGATTCCTCACGTTATTGACTGTGTATAGTTTCTTTCATTTCTGCTTTCTTCGCATTTCTGTACATGAGAATTATTTTTCTCTATATTATTTCCGTTGACTAAAGAGAAGTTTATCAATAATTTATTTCCCTTTTCATAAAATGTCTTTATTATTGATATCGCGTTATTGCATAGGGATGTTTTTTTTTCTTTCAATAATTTCCATTGTCATTAAATTGAACTCCTTTTCTATATAAATTTTTTATAAACATGCGTAGATGGATAATTTTTGTTTCAAAATGTTTAGAAAATTATAAACGTTTAGAAACCATTATTTATCGTTTATATACTCTTCATACTTTTTGTTGCATTACTATTTTCTTTATATGCCTTTGAAAACTAATTTTTTTTTAAAAAGTTTACTATAGTCAAAATTTGTCTACTAATTTAAGTAAGAATTTTTATAAAATTTTTTAGTAAAACAAATTTTTTTAAATTGATTTAATTTAATTGATTTAACTACTTTTCTTTTACTGAAAATTTTTTGAAAAAAATAACTAAAAAAAAAAATGAGAAATTTTTACTAAAGACAAATAAAAAATTATTAAAAGGTAAGATTTTAAGAATTAATATATTTGACATCTTTTTTTATTTTAAAATTTCCTTTTTGAATTAATTCGCAAAAAGTTTGATAATTATTTGAAAACAAGTAAATTTTTTTAAAATTTATTTTATTTAAAACTATAATTGTTTTTTTAAAATTTATTTTATTTAAAACTATAATTGTTTTTTTTAAAACCCTTTTAATAAATTGTAGGCAGAATATGCTGATTTTACAATCTAAAAATAAAAAAAAATTTTTTTTATGTAAATACTATTATTTGATATTTTTTTTCAATATTAAAAATACATACTTGTACAAATGTTCCTATTGACATTATAATTAATTTAAAACCCATAAAATTTAATGGTTTTGCAGCTCGAATCATAATTAGCATCAAATTTCTTTTTGTTTTATTTGTTATTGTTGACCAGTTCATTTCATAAATTTCATTAATCGTTGCGAAACTCTATTTTTTTTTATAATAATAATAAAAATTATTCAATAAAATATTATTATTATTTTTTTTTAAAGGTTTATTTGAGACAAATAAAAATATATTTGTCTCAAATAACTTTTTATTTCAAAATAAAAAAAATTTATTTAGCATTAATAAAATTTTATTTATCTCAAATAAAAAAAATTTTTTTTTGCCTTTTTTCTGGTTGTAAAATAAGTTTATAAAAATATTTATTTTTTTTTATGGAAATATAATTATTTTAAATCTATAAAATAAAAAAATAATTATTTTAAATCTATAAAATAAAAAAAAATTACTTTTAAATCTATAAAATAAAAAAAAGCCGATTTTTGTTTTATAATTACCTTTGTTTTGATTTGCTCACCAAAAATGCAATAGAGAAATATTTGCACTAATGTAACTGATAATGCACACATTAAACCCCAAAGTCTTGGATCAGTCACAGTTAATCTTGATAATTGAAATGTAATTGCTCCCAAACCAAGCATTGAAACAAAAAATTGAACAAAAATTGCCGAATCAAATAAATTATTTAATTTTTTTCCAATTCTGTAAAAAATATTAATTAATTAATTTTATTTTCAAATTTCAATTTATAAAAAAATTTTCCTTTTTTTTATATATTAAAATTGATAAAAAAAAATATATATATATCTGTAAAACATACGTGAAAATATGACAATGAAGTTCAACGCAGTCTTTGATAATTTTTGTTTCGCAATTATAAATAAAAGATTCATTATAATTTTTTTTTGTTGACAATTGTGATAATAAATTTAATCGATAGATAAAAATTTCATATTGTGCACAAATTTGCAATATTGTCATTAATGCAATACCCTCAATAGCTGATGTTACACATGCTCCCATTGTTGTACCAAGACCTTGATGTATATAAGTTAAGAAATATAAAAGTCTTGAATTAAGACTATAGGGAATCCACATTTTAAATGGCAATGGAAAATCACTTCTTTTGGAAGGTGGAATCAAAAATAGTGAAATTGATGTTGAATTCGTTATAAACAAATAGAGAATTGTATAGAATCTAAATAGTAAAAATTATTTAATTTTTCTAAATTTATTATATAATTATATTTTTATATTAAATTTTTTTTATATAAATAATTTTATATAATAATAATAATTTTTTTCAGCCTATTTGGCCCAGAAACGAACATGGTTTACAACAAAATATTTTTATATTTTAATATTAATATTTTTATTAAAAAATTTTTTTCATATTTATTATTTATTTATATTTTAACAATTAAAAAAAATATAATATTCCACTTTTTGGAAATAGCTTTCGAAGAAAAAAAATTCCATATTTAAAAAAATAAACAAATAATTTTTGTTGAGAAATTTTCAAAGTTTTAATATTGTAGAATATTGTAAAAAAAATTGTAATAATAAAATCTTATATTTACCTACAAGAATATGAAGTATTTTGCAAAATTTTCAATTCCACATCGTCTCTTGGTTGGCATAATTTATTTTTAAATAAATTCACCAATTCAATAGCAATTTTACTATGTAGAAAAATTGTAATCATTTTAAAAAAAACAGTGAAAAATGCAAGAAAATGATACAACGATTCCATTTCATTGTCAATATTTTGTGCTTTTAATAAAAGAAATAATAATATTGAAATGTCAAAATAAAAATAAATTGTTATCATAAAAATTGAATATAAATAATAAATTAAAGTTTTCCATTTTGTATTCCATGTGAGTGGTTTAAAAATTCCAAATAATTGCAGTAAAATAAATGATATTTCACCCAAATATAATTTACAATTATATATTGGATATGATTTTTTTTCCATATTCTGAAAAAAAGGGAAAATTTGTATTCATTTTTTTTTTAATTATTATTCTATTTAAAATAATTAAATTTATAAGAAGAATAATTTGATATTTTCAAATTAGGAATTTTTTTTAAAATATTTTTTTTTATTATATTGAAAAAAATTTATTCAAAAGAAACGTAGAGTTTTTTAAAAATCAAAAAAATATATTTAAGAATATTTTATAAATAAAGAGAGCTTCTCAATAAATTTTTGTACTCTGAGAGAATCGTTATACCTTTCTATTGATGAATAATAATAATAATATACGTTCGACTCCGCATAATGTTTTCCGACTTCTGATAAATACCCTCTCTATAAATGTGAAAATATTATATTGAGTGTACGATGATGTTGAATAATTTTCATTCTCATTTGCATAGAAAATAAGACTAAACGACTGCATTTATAAATTTTTAATGAATGATACAACGAACAAATTTTATTAAGGGTAGAAAATCGCTTTATGAAATTGTCATAAAAGTTTAGTGTATATAGTAATGTCATTGTAATTTTACATTTTGTGAAGAGTGTTTCTTCTTTTATATGCAATTTTTAATATATTTAATAGTATTTATTAAAAAAAATCAATTTTTTCTCTTTAAATCTGAATTACTAAAAAATTTACTGGTGATTAAATTTTTGTTTTTGAAATTAGTAAAATTAACAAAAATTTTTTTTTTTTTACTAACGAATTAGTACAATTTAAATAATTCGAAAGCAAAAAGTCATACTAATTCAAATTATGTAGTTAAAATTTTTACTAAAGATAATAATTTTTATTTATTTATATTTTCAAATTGTGTTTATAATTTTTAAATTGTACTTAAATTTTTAAATTCTATTTACAATTTTATAAATTATATTTTTTTAATTTTTAAATATAATTTTTGATTTATTTCCCAAACAATTTAACCTGTTCATTTGCATAGAAAATGAGACAATTTTTAATTTTTCTTTTTAATATATATATCTACCTATATTACAAAAAGATATCGCCGCCAAAGCCGCCGCCGCTGTTCCAAGACTCTGAATATAGAGGCAAGTCAAGATAAGGGGGGGTAGAAGAAAAGGGAGGGGGGGACTTGAGGCTATATTCAGAGTCTTGAAACGATCTTAACCTTTAAATTTAGGGTGGGGGGAGTGGAAGAGAGGAGGCTTTAATGGTCATAAAATTGGTGTTCCTCTACTCGGAGCGGGCTGTCAATTTTTTTCTACACTTTTAGGTGTATTTTGTGCAAGAAATTGCAATAAAATAGTCTGCCTAAGAAAAATTGAATTTTTTTGAAAATTTTTTTTTGACGAAAATCGCTTTAATGGTCATAAAATTGGTGTTCCTCTACTCGGATCGGGCTGTCAATTTTTTTCTACCCTTTTAGGTGTATTTTGTGCAAGAAATTGCAATAAAATAGTCTGCCTAAGAAAAATTGAATTTTTTTGAAAATTTTTTTTTGACGAAAATCGCTTTAATGGTCATAAAATTGGTGTTCCTCTACTCGGATCGGGCTGTAAATTTTTTTCTACACTTTTAGGTGTATTTTGTGCAAGAAATTGCAATAAAATAGTCTGCCTAAGAAAAATTGAATTTTTTTGAAAATTTTTTTTTGACGAAAATCGCTTTAATGGTCATAAAATTGGTGTTCCTCTACTCGGATCGGGCTGTCAATTTTTTTCTACACTTTTAGGTGTATTTTGTGCAAGAAATTGCAATAAAATAGTCTGCCTAAGAAAAATTGAATTTTTTTGAAAATTTTTTTTTGACGAAAATCGCTTTAATGGTCATAAAATTGGTGTTCCTCTACTCGGATCGGGCTGTCAATTTTTTTCTACACTTTTAGGTGTATTTTGTGCAAGAAATTGCAATAAAATAGTCTGCCTAAGAAAAATTGAATTTTTTTGAAAATTTTTTTTTGACGAAAATCGCTTTAATGGTCATAAAATTGGTGTTCCTCTACTCGGATCGGGCTGTCAATTTTTTTCTACACTTTTAGGTGTATTTTGTGCAAGAAATTGCAATAAAATAGTCTGCCTAAGAAAAATTGAATTTTTTTGAAAATTTTTTTTTGACGAAAATCGCTTTAATGGTCATAAAATTGGTGTTCCTCTACTCGGATCGGGCTGTCAATTTTTTTCTACCCTTTTAGGTGTATTTTGTGCAAGAAATTGCAATAAAATAGTCTGCCTAAGAAAAATTGAATTTTTTTGAAAATTTTTTTTTGACGAAAATCGCTTTAATGGTCATAAAATTGGTGTTCCTCTACTCGGATCGGGCTGTCAATTTTTTTCTACACTTTTAGGTGTATTTTGTGCAAGAAATTGCAATAAAATAGTCTGCCTAAGAAAAATTGAATTTTTTTGAAAATTTTTTTTTGACGAAAATCGCTTTAATGGTCATAAAATTGGTGTTCCTCTACTCGGATCGGGCTGTCAATTTTTTTCTACACTTTTAGGTGTATTTTGTGCAAGAAATTGCAATAAAATAGTCTGCCTAAGAAAAATTGAATTTTTTTGAAAATTTTTTTTTGACGAAAATCGCTTTAATGGTCATAAAATTGGTGTTCCTCTACTCGGATCGGGCTGTCAATTTTTTTCTACCCTTTTAGGTGTATTTTGTGCAAGAAATTGCAATAAAATAGTCTGCCTAAGAAAAATTGAATTTTTTTGAAAATTTTTTTTTGACGAAAATCGCTTTAATGGTCATAAAATTGGTGTTCCTCTACTCGGATCGGGCTGTCAATTTTTTTCTACACTTTTAGGTGTATTTTGTGCAAGAAATTGCAATAAAATAGTCTGCCTAAGAAAAATTGAATTTTTTTGAAAATTTTTTTTTGACGAAAATCGCTTTAATGGTCATAAAATTGGTGTTCCTCTACTCGGATCGGGCTGTCAATTTTTTTCTACACTTTTAGGTGTATTTTGTGCAAGAAATTGCAATAAAATAGTCTGCCTAAGAAAAATTGAATTTTTTTGAAAATTTTTTTTTGACGAAAATCGCTTTAATGGTCATAAAATTGGTGTTCCTCTACTCGGATCGGGCTGTCAATTTTTTTCTACACTTTTAGGTGTATTTTGTGCAAGAAATTGCAATAAAATAGTCTGCCTAAGAAAAATTGAATTTTTTTGAAAATTTTTTTTTGACGAAAATCGCTTTAATGGTCATAAAATTGGTGTTCCTCTACTCGGATCGGGCTGTCAATTTTTTTCTACACTTTTAGGTGTATTTTGTGCAAGAAATTGCAATAAAATAGTCTGCCTAAGAAAAATTGAATTTTTTTGAAAATTTTTTTTTGACGAAAATCGCTTTAATGGTCATAAAATTGGTGTTCCTCTACTCGGATCGGGCTGTCAATTTTTTTCTACACTTTTAGGTGTATTTTGTGCAAGAAATTGCAATAAAATAGTCTGCCTAAGAAAAATTGAATTTTTTTGAAAATTTTTTTTTGACGAAAATCGCTTTAATGGTCATAAAATTGGTGTTCCTCTACTCGGATCGGGCTGTCAATTTTTTTCTACACTTTTAGGTGTATTTTGTGCAAGAAATTGCAATAAAATAGTCTGCCTAAGAAAAATTGAATTTTTTTGAAAATTTTTTTTTGACGAAAATCGCTTTAATGGTCATAAAATTGGTGTTCCTCTACTCGGATCGGGCTGTCAATTTTTTTCTACACTTTTAGGTGTATTTTGTGCAAGAAATTGCAATAAAATAGTCTGCCTAAGAAAAATTGAATTTTTTTGAAAATTTTTTTTTGACGAAAATCGCTTTAATGGTCATAAAATTGGTGTTCCTCTACTCGGATCGGGCTGTCAATTTTTTTCTACACTTTTAGGTGTATTTTGTGCAAGAAATTGCAATAAAATAGTCTGCCTAAGAAAAATTGAATTTTTTTGAAAATTTTTTTTTGACGAAAATCGCTTTAATGGTCATAAAATTGGTGTTCCTCTACTCGGATCGGGCTGTCAATTTTTTTCTACACTTTTAGGTGTATTTTGTGCAAGAAATTGCAATAAAATAGTCTGCCTAAGAAAAATTGAATTTTTTTGAAAATTTTTTTTTGACGAAAATCGCTTTAATGGTCATAAAATTGGTGTTCCTCTACTCGGATCGGGCTGTCAATTTTTTTCTACACTTTTAGGTGTATTTTGTGCAAGAAATTGCAATAAAATAGTCTGCCTAAGAAAAATTGAATTTTTTTGAAAATTTTTTTTTGACGAAAATCGCTTTAATGGTCATAAAATTGGTGTTCCTCTACTCGGATCGGGCTGTCAATTTTTTTCTACACTTTTAGGTGTATTTTGTGCAAGAAATTGCAATAAAATAGTCTGCCTAAGAAAAATTGAATTTTTTTGAAAATTTTTTTTTGACGAAAATCGCTTTAATGGTCATAAAATTGGTGTTCCTCTACTCGGATCGGGCTGTCAATTTTTTTCTACACTTTTAGGTGTATTTTGTGCAAGAAATTGCAATAAAATAGTCTGCCTAAGAAAAATTGAATTTTTTTGAAAATTTTTTTTTGACGAAAATCGCTTTAATGGTCATAAAATTGGTGTTCCTCTACTCGGATCGGGCTGTCAATTTTTTTCTACACTTTTAGGTGTATTTTGTGCAAGAAATTGCAATAAAATAGTCTGCCTAAGAAAAATTGAATTTTTTTGAAAATTTTTTTTTGACGAAAATCGCTTTAATGGTCATAAAATTGGTGTTCCTCTACTCGGATCGGGCTGTCAATTTTTTTCTACACTTTTAGGTGTATTTTGTGCAAGAAATTGCAATAAAATAGTCTGCCTAAGAAAAATTGAATTTTTTTGAAAATTTTTTTTTGACGAAAATCGCTTTAATGGTCATAAAATTGGTGTTCCTCTACTCGGATCGGGCTGTCAATTTTTTTCTACACTTTTAGGTGTATTTTGTGCAAGAAATTGCAATAAAATAGTCTGCCTAAGAAAAATTGAATTTTTTTGAAAATTTTTTTTTGACGAAAATCGCTTTAATGGTCATAAAATTGGTGTTCCTCTACTCGGATCGGGCTGTCAATTTTTTTCTACACTTTTAGGTGTATTTTGTGCAAGAAATTGCAATAAAATAGTCTGCCTAAGAAAAATTGAATTTTTTTGAAAATTTTTTTTTGACGAAAATCGCTTTAATGGTCATAAAATTGGTGTTCCTCTACTCGGATCGGGCTGTCAATTTTTTTCTACACTTTTAGGTGTATTTTGTGCAAGAAATTGCAATAAAATAGTCTGCCTAAGAAAAATTGAATTTTTTTGAAAATTTTTTTTTGACGAAAAT